AGCCTTCACGTCATTCATGTTGAGGCTGTCAACATAAAAACACAATTCTCATTTTAAAAAGAATAAGAGATAGCTTATTCTGGTCATTTTGAGTGACCCTGACCCAGGAACACAGATTTACCCAGTTTCCATGTTCCAACACGGAAGCAGTTTCACAGGGTTTTTATAGTTTTTACAGAACAAAGAAATTCATAAACCGGGGCAAGTTTAAAATATTTTAGCATTGGTGGGTGCAACAAGATGGGATGGTGTTCTGCAGGTCTAAGATGCTATCCCGTGACGTTCTTAGCTTTTGAATTGGCAAAAGCTAGTGGTCTCCTAAGTCAGTAGATTCTAAAAGGTTTTTATTTATTATCACAAGGTCTTTGTTCCTATACAGAATGGGGCAAAGATGTTCCAGAAGAATAGAACTAGCCCAAGATAAGCTAATTAACTTCTGAACCTGCAAAATTCCAGTCTCTCTGCAGTACTAAAGTCCAAGTTGGTCCATCAGTCTCTGCACACAGACTCCATCCAGGAATTTTTCATTCACAGGTAGACATAGCTTCTTTTCAGGAATGTTCCTTAACAAGGCACATGACAGGGTTTCCTTTTTATTTTATGGCTGAGTGATACTTCATTGTGAGTATGTATATATATCATTGTGTATGTATCACATTTTTTTTTACCACTTCTCAGTGGATAATAGAGTTGCTGCTGCCTCTTTTATTGTGAAAAGTAATGCAACAAAGAGGAGAGTGCAAATACTCCAAGACCCTGTTTCCAGTTCTTTTGAGTATCTACTAAAAAGCAGTATTGTTGAATTGTTTGGACCTAATTTGGAGAAACCTCAGAAACTCATCACCACTCAGACAAAGTTTATAGCAATTGAAAGGCTGTATTCCAGGTGGCTGGGACTACACTCAGGTCCTAAGTGTACACTCAGGTACACTGGGTCTTAAGTGTAGCCCACATGTCTACGGCAAAAAACCAAAAACCACGTCCTGGCATCTCATTCACTAGCTCAGGGGCGCTTCGCAGAAGCAGCCAGTTAGCAGGAGCTGAGATGAGTTAGCTGCACAAGTGCGTAGTTTAACAGAAGTTAAGTTAGCTGGAGCATCTTGACCTTAGATTCCTACCATTGAGTTTGCTAATTTTTTTTTATCAATAAGATCAAATGACCTCAGTAAAAATTCAAGATGGAAGAACCTCTGCATTGTCTTGTCCTGTCACATCTCCACTGGTCATGAGTCAAATCGTTGACTTGTCCTGTTTTAGTGGGAGCATAGTTCGTCCTAAGAATCAATAGCTTACCTGAGTTTATTCTGTTAGGTGTAGTTGGCCATATAGTTGAGAATGCAGGGTCCCATTGTGAGCCCAGTGAGAATAAGAATCAACAATCAGGCTAATGCTGACAGGAAGATGGTCAGCCATGGCTGTTGGGTATTCATGCCAGCTCTGGTGGCAGGGAAAGCTTTCCCTGTGGAGAGCAGATACTCCCTTTGTAAACTTTGTATACTTTAAACTTTTTAAACCCTCAAGCCTCACAAGTACCCCCCGCCTCAGCTCCAGGGGCCAAGCTGCCTGCCTTCCCTAACAGCGCTAACTACTGTTCCCAGCCCCAAGGCAGGAGGGTGGCCAGGCCTTGCCCTACAGGGAAAAAAATCCCACCAATCCCTCAGCTTGCCTCAAGATCAGGCTATATCACCCTTCTAATCCTAGGCCACCCTGGAATAGCTCCACACCACCCTCCTTCCCTCAAGAAGCCCTGTATAAACCCTGTGTCCTGTGGAGCAGAGGTAGCCACCTCCTGGGTTTTTCCCTCCCGATAAATCTCTTGTGCGAGGTTTGTTGTGCAGTGTGACCTTGTGGTGCTCCTTGACTGCCGAGATACCTTTGCACCCCACGCTGTAACATTTACAGTGGGGGCCAAGCAGAGACCAACACAAGACACCTAACCCAACACCTCCGTGTAGTCCAGCCAGTTGGAGTAAAGTCTTTCAGTTGGCTATAAATTATGACTGAGTGGTCATCTCTTGTGGGCTCCCTGTCGCCCACAAGAGTACAGTATAGTACAGCTGTACAGTTTCATATGCTTAGCAACCATGCCCAAGGGGTCCAGCTTCTTGACATCTCAGCTTACTATTTGTAATTTCAAATTTAAAATATGACAAATAAAATTGTTTATATTTATATTTGTATATAAAATGTTTCCTTCCTGTAAACCCTGCCATTTCCTTTTTGTATGTTGGCACCCTGTGAAAGGGCTTTTGATCACATGTACATGACTTATCTCTAGACTTAGCTGTTCCATTGGCTTTTATGTTGGTTCCAGTCTTTCTAAGGGAGAATCTGTTTTCTCACCTTTTCCAGCCTCTGGAGCAACATTCCAGCTCTTGACCTTGTCCTCCACCTCTAGAGCCTACAGGGTGTTGTCCTACTCCAGTTGTCATGTTGTCTCCAGCATGGTTCACCTGGACAGGAGGATGGTCTCCCTTTTTTAGGGTCATCACTTTTATTGTACGAGCAAACCCCTTTGCTACATAACAATTTCATCGTTTTCTGGGACAAAGACCTCTAGAGACCATTACTGAATTTTCTGTTAACTAGAGTTTAACTTTTATTGAACACTGCTTGCCAGCCTTCCTGTTTACCTCAGGGTTTTTTTGTTTGTTTTTGTTTTTGTTTTTTTGCAGAGGGGGAGGCGGAAAGAGGGGTGCATCTTCTGAAAAATTATTCATATTAATAGCTAAAAATTTTATTCAAAAACTGGTGTAATCTAAAAAGCAGTTTAGGAGGCTATCTGATTTAACTTACCACTCTTCCCTAATTGGGCATGTTAGGGGCTTTATTTTTGTTATTTTTATTTTTTTCTGTTTTTGTATCTTTGGACTTTCATACAAGCTTTGAAGAAAGTTTTGAGTCAGTTGTTCAACTCCTTTGATTTACTAATGTTTTAAGCTGTGTTGTTGTGGGTTTTTTTTTTTTTCTACTACCTAAATTTACATGTTTCCCTTACCTTTAGAAATTGAAAGTGTGGAAGCTTCCTTTGGATTTTGAAATGTTAGACTAGTTACTTGCAATCCTAGTATTGACTTGTGGGGGAGGGAGTATGTTCTTGGATCAATAACATTTCATAAGAAGCATTGTTGAAGGCTTAAAGCCACTAATAGGAAAAGGGGGAGTAAATGGCTCAAAGTACAAGGCTTGCCAGTTGCTTAAATCTTACCCCACTGCTGGCTTTCTTAACTGATGTCCCCTGGAAGAACGGCATGCTTGTGTGTGTGAATGCTAAGGATACGGAAATGAGTTAGGCCTGCTCCTGTCCTAGAGGAGATGTAAACACAGATGTGTGTGTACAAGACATTTGTTGTAGTTAATAGGTAAGAGGAGTCTGCTAAGGTGGCTCCATAACACAGGAGCCCTGGTCTTGCACAGATGTATCTGCATCTTGCCAGAGGACGTAAGGCCCACTTGTCCTTCAGTTGTACCATTGAGTGCTAACATTTTATCTATAATGACCACTAGTGACTCAAGCCTGCCCCAGAAAGAGCTTCAGCCACTGAATGTCACATGCTCTGCTGATGAGGCCTTGACCACATGCAGCCCTTCACTCGACTGCAGTCAGTGATAATCTAGGACAGGTGAAACGGCAGTGTACAGTCCTCCAAAGTATTTCACCACAAAACTTGGTCCTGGTCCCATAGTTTCATGACGACCGTTATTTCTAACTTGAATTTCTTCTTAGGGTGCAAAATGAACGCATAAGAAGACTCAGTGATGTCAAGTTTTGAGAATTCCCTGTCCTCCTTCCAAGGACTTGTGGTTTTGTACACACAAATTAAAGCAATTAAGGTCCTGGCAAACCATCTCTTCTCCACTACTTCTTCCCTTATAACTAGGGTGTACAGTGGGGTGGGGTTGGGAAGCCTCCTAAGGAGGCTTTAGGAAAATGCTACAGCCAGAGGTGTTAGGGCTCCTCACTCGGACAGCCTCATGCTTCAGAGGTGAACAGTCATTAATACTCATTTTATTGGGGTGTCTGTGAATTATAATACTGAAAATTGAGTTGCTTTGGTTTGGGTGTGAGTGTTCTCATCTCTCCCTACATGGCCCTGGTTCACGTTGCCCTCCCTGCACTTCTGTTTCTCCTCACGACAAGTGCTGTTTGAACAGTCCTAACATGTGATGCTGCCTAAGGTTTCCTGGTCCCATTTTGAAGAATTTGGGCAAGTCAGGAGCAGAGCAGATAGAACGCCTTCCCAGCCTGCCACTGTTGGGAAAGGCACGAGGTAGAAGGTGCTTGAGAACAAGGGTCACCTGAAACCCACACTGCTAGAGTGTGGGCCTTCCACTGCCTCAGAGCTCATGCACCTGATGTCCCGAGGGTCTTTCTCTGCCTTTCTAGAGGACTGCCTCTTTATGCTGAATTTCTATTCCGTGCTATTGAATGATTCTTCTGCCTCTTCCTTTCCAACCTGTCTACAGGTATGTGCCAACACAACCAGCCAAATGTTGCTTAGTAAAAAAGGGAAGTAATGAGTATTTTCTAGGGAAGATTGTGGTTGTAATATGTATTTCCAAGTAACAGTGCCCAGGTGTGCTAGTACTAGCAAGAAATGTTTGTATGGAAATTACCCTGTCAGGCATTTTGTAGCTAGTAACTCGGTTAGTCCTGTGAGGTCAGTTGTCATTATTTTACTGAGCAGGAAGTAAAGAGGTAAGTAATTAGCGCAAAGAGGTAAGTAATTTGTCCAAGCACTTAATGATTACAGAACTGGGACCCAGAAGTCTGGGATGGGCACTTGTACTTTTCGTCAAGGTACTATACTCCTCTCAAGTCAGGCCTGAAATTGTTATTAAATGTAATGCTATTAAGGCATTGGTTGTGTTGGATATAAAATTCATTAGTTATGTTATAGTGAATCATAAGTATAATTGCCTTCACATGTTTTAAAGTTTAAAGATGTAAACGAGTATCTTACCTACTAAATGTCCAACCTGTTTGCTTTGTGTCCTAGGAGAAGACTTTGCGGTTGTACAGCAAGAAATCATTATGATGAAGGACTGCAAACACCCAAATATTGTTGCTTATTTTGGAAGCTATCTCAGGTACACGGTTTATTTCCCTTTTGAAAACAGTAATGATTCTATCAGCTAATTCAGTTAACAGAATAAAATTGACTCCAATGTTGTGATTCTTGCTTAGAAGGTAGGCTCTTTTCTGTTCACAGGAATGGCATTTTTGCTAATGACCTGTATGCTAATTCTGTAATGGTGTCGCCAGCTTGTGACCTGGGAGTTCTGGATGTTGTTTCATTGAGGAAGCTGCTTCTTAATACATCAGCTGCTGCCCTTTTCTTCTAGGTTTAAAAGAATTCAGTCAGGAGTATCTCTTCCCCAAGGCGTGTTTTTGTTTTTTAAATGTCTTATCCTTCTGGTCTCTTTCTTTTGCTACATTTTGTTCAAAAGACTAGGAACTATAATTATTTCCACAACACGCTTTTCTAGGGCCCAAAGTGCACTTCTGTGTGGACTTAGCCCCTGTGCTGTTTTGGCAGGACCAGTCCAGGTTCATCAGGTCATGTGCCGTAGAGGAGCCCCTCAGACTTAACCCTGGCTCCTCTCACCTCTGCAAATGCAGTGTGTCCGACACTCTGTTCCTGGTGAGGGCCTGATATGCTCGACATAGTGCTTCTTCTCACATGTCCATACAGAACACTGCTGAACACAACAGGTAGAGGAACCTGGGGATTCTGTCCCGTGTCTTCTCAGTTGTTTATCAAACCGAGCCAGCTCTCCTCACTCCAGCTGCATGTGGTAAGCAGGGTAGGTCATGCTGTTGCACAGTCCTGCCTGCATTCTTACTGTCAGTTGGACAGTGCTTTAACAAGGAGTGGTTCAGTAGCAGCCTCAAAGGTGCATCTTGGCACCTGTCCAGTCGGCCCAACAGGGCAGTTACTGTAACAGTCTCCTAAAATCACCTGAGTGTGTGGTGCTGATGATTGATTCCGGAGACAGTACAAATCACCACTGCAAAGCGGCTTATTTACCTGCTGCTTCCTGGGGCACAGAAAGCTGCTGTGCTTCCTTGCAGTGTGGGTCTAGTCTTGTTTCTCAAGCACTGTAGAACATGCAAAGCCAAACCTACTATGCGGCATCCTTTTTGCGATAAAATTACTGTGGTCTTCCTGCAGGAAGACAACAGTGTGATACAGAAATCAGGGGCTTGAGTGAAAATGACAGAATCCTGGCTTTCATCACTAGTTGACAGTGACTTACGGCAAATTAGTCCAGTCACTCAGTGTCTCCATTTCCTCCTCTGGCAAAGAGGTGATCACATTTGTGTGATGGTTAGTCCTCTAGTATCCGTGAGGACCCGGTGTTAGAACATGTGAAATGGAAAGAGTGGTGCTTGCCGCATGCAAACTGCCACCACCAGCTGTACCTCACGATCTGAAAGCACTGTTCTATCAGTGCCTCAGCTGATCATTTCAACGCCGTTAGCATTGTGCTCATTAGTCCACGTTAGCTCCAGCTTACAGACAAGATGCTTCAAGTTGTTTTCATTGTATTTTTATCCAAATGAAAAGATTATAGTGAATTTTCCTCCCCTCAAACCAAAATTAAAACAAAGCTAGGGTCATTTTAAAAATGTTCTTGTAGAGTGATGGGAATGTACTGTGAGGATGCTGCTTTAGCCCGATGACTGAATTCCACCCTGCCACTGCCAATGAAAATGACTTGAGAGCAGATGGAAGAGTAAAGAATAGTGGCTCCTCCTTCCCTCCGTCCGTCCTTTCTCTAGCTCTCTGTACAGAGTCTTCTCTATTCCTGACGAAGTATGGACTTGGACCAAAGAGGAGCATGGAATCCTAAGAATTAGGTTTGTATTGTGCTCGAGCTGAAAAGGACAGAGCGATCTTGTCATCCAGCCCACTCTTTCACAGATGAGAAAACAGGACGTAATATAACCTTTCTTCTGGAGGCTCGGTTGCCTGTTATTGGCAGGATTTAAGCCTGGCTCTGTCCGTTCCCTCACTGATACCTCTTCAGCCCATATTATTACTTAGCCCTAGAAATCCAAATAGCACCAGCTTATTCTATAAAGTCAAGGGGTTTGGAGTTTGGTACACCACCCCCAAAATATGACTTTCTTCTGTTGTTACTATTACAGTGTATTTATAATGGATTGAGACCAAAAGATGAAGATGTGCAAGTGTGATTTGACCTCTGACAAACCTGCCCTGAGGGATCAGAATCAGACCATGAGTTCTCTTACTAGATACCCAGTAAATAGTTATGTCCAGAGGCCCATGTAATAGTCTCACCTCACGAAGAGATCTCGACTGTACTCCTGTAGCTGAGTTCTTGATGTTCTTAACAGGGACTTCAGCCTCATCAGCATGAAGTCTAGTCTAGTAATGAAATTTCCTCTGGTGACTTAAATAATAGCACACTGCATATCTGATGCATATCGTCTGAATATTTGTGTTTCTCTTAAAAGAAAGAAAACTAAATACCAAAGGCATATCCTTGAACCTATGAAAGCCAAGGATAATTTAACTCCATGTTCCTTCTAACTTTTCTTTAGACAAGAAAAAGCCTGCAGTTGTTCCTCTAGGTATACGGTTACCCTTTAAAGGACACCTTGATTTTGGAACACTACACCGAAGCTCTGCAAAGGCAATAGAGTTCTTTGTGTAGGTCCTCCCTCACCTGCCCCCAGTGTGAACACAGCCACAGCGTATCAGTCAGATCAACACCTGAGCGTCAGACGGATGCCTTGGCACACCTTACGCTTCATTTGGGTCTCATCAGTTTTCTGCTAGGGTCTCCTTAGATTGTGAGGGGATTGGGACTTCAGATCAGGCTGTCCTGCGGGTTGCTGGAGTAAGTCAGTCACTTTATATTCCCTAAAGACAGAGCACACTGGACAGGGTCACCTGTCTTTATATTTTTGAGTATCTATTTTAAAATGAAACAAAAGATTTCAAATTTGACTCTCAGTGAATTAGCCTATATGACAATATCTAACGGTTACTGGACTTTGTATTTTTCACATTCACGACTTAAGATGAACTTGAGTTACTTTTGAGTACAGCGGTGCAGCCCTTGTGGGCCAGGGCACTCGTCCCAGGGGGAAGCAACCGAGTGTGCCGTTCCCCAGCAGTGCTGAGTCCAGGTGGTCCTGCTCACAGCTGTGTTTGACTTTTTAATCATACTGTGCTTTGAACAAGGTATAAATCACATGTAATATATTAATTATTTCTAAGTCTGTGGTATATGGGAAGATGAAAAAGTATGTTTTGGGAATAAGACTTTCGGATCAATGTACTAGTTAGAACTTTTGTCTCTATAAATTCTAATAAACATCAAACTGGGAGATTAAAATAGTGAGACACACACACCCTCATTTACTTTTCTATTATTTTTATTGATTTTGGGGGTAAGGTAGTAAGGTAATTTTACAAAATAAGAGAAAGCTTCTAAGTGTTTCTTGAGGCAGGGCATTAATGCTGGTTCATTTAAAATTGATCGTGTGGTTACTTTTATTTCAATTTAGATACCTAGCCACAAAGATCCATATAATTTGTTGGCCTGCATAAAATGGGCCCATTGACTCAGCCCTGTCCTACTGGACAGATGGCTTGGTGAATGGCCCAGTGCACTGCAGAGTTATCATCATGATGGAGACGTTCAGGGACAGATGGAGTCATTTTTCTAAGACATTCTGATGAGTCAAGCTTTTTAATTTTTTATAATAAGAGATTTTAACCAAATGGAGTAAATGTAAAGCATTTTTAGCATCATTAAATGGTATCAGCAAATATAGTTCATATTTTTTCTTTGCTTTTTAAACTAAAAAGTCACTGCATAAAATAAATAAACACTGGATTTAAGTAAAAAGAGACAGGGAATGGAGTCGTTTTAAGTGGAAGACAGTGGCAGTGAATCTGAAAGATACCAGAAAACTTGTCCCCTGTTCATTTTCTCTACTGTGGAGAACTGTGTTCAAGCTGTAAAGGGTAGGAAAGGCATTATTGAGATGACAGGTGAGGAGGTAATTGCCAGGCAACTAGATACTTTAATGAATTTAAGCTTTTAGATTTATATAAGCTCCATCTCACACTGAACATTTAGCAGATGTGACTGCCATTCACTGTCAGTAGATGTCCTTTCACAAATAGAAGAGACATTGAAGATTAGAGAGAATCAATGACTAATTTGCAAAAGGGAGAAAGATGATTTCTAAAAAATACAGTCAAATCAAACATCAGCCACCCCCCAGCAAACATCATGAATAAATTGTTAATCTTGTCATCAGTGAGCACTTACAAGTGGCAACCAGCCTGGCCTTTGTAGAAAGCAATGCCACATGATCCCATCTCACTGTAATGGTTTTATTCTTAAAAAATAATGACTTTACATCTTCACTGAGTTCCTAGGACAATTTAAGGTCATTTAAATAAATGACTGTAAGATAAATTGTAAGATGCATCCTGCAGATAGAAAAATCTTTGTTAACTATTGATCCAGAAAAAAAAAATTGATAAGCAGAATACATCTAGAATTCCAGGGCTAGCAGAGTAACTCAGTTGCCTTGCAAGCGCAAGGACCTGAGTCCAGCCCTTGAGACCCAAATAAAATACCAGGCTTGCTAACTCAACCCTAATCTCAGTGATAAGGATGCAGAGACGGGGCTCACTGGGGCTTCTCTAGCTTACCAGTGTAGGGTCATTGAGAGACCCTGTCTCAGGAGAGATGGACCTTATCCCTAAGGCTTGCATCCAAGTTTTTTCTTTGGCCAAAACATACGTACATTAATAAAAGAAATAGAATATGGCGTTTCAGTAAAGAGAGCTTTTGGGTTCTAGGGAGAACTTAAACATGTTAGCATAGTAACCTCTAATAAGAGGTGCCTTCCTGGTTTTTTATTTTAAAATTTATTTATTTTATTACATAATGCACATGGTTGTTTTCCTGTGTGTACATATGTGCACTACATGGGTGTCTGGTGCCCTCAGAGACCAGGGATCCCCTAGGACTGGAATTATAGACAGTTGTGACCCAACATTTGGGGACTGGGAATTGAACCTGGGATCTCAGCAAAAATAAGTTCTTTTAACCACTGAGCCAACTCTCTAGCCTCGCCTTCAGCTTTTTGGATAAGACCATAGCCAGCTACTCTGAAAGTTCTTAAAACTTGTCCACTGGGCAGCCACCTGATACTTCTGTGGGTTATATTCATTGCTATGTGCCATATCAGAAGCAACAGCAGAAATGTATATGTTAGCTGTGGTGCTGGCATTCCCATTCCGTTCATAAGGCACACTGGTAGGCTGTGAGTCTTACATGGTTTCTCATTTCTTTTATTCTCTGCAGCCTTACCTTCTGGAACCATGATACCCACACCATCAAGTTAGCTGACCTTTCCACCCTGGCAGCCCATGCGGTTGCTGTACACCACATTGTCTACCGTACACAGCCAAGACAGCACTCCGGCCTAGCTAACCCAACCACCGTCATGTTTGACCTGTTAACACCAACAGCTTTGCTTCTTAATGCGGTATCACGAACTGCTCAGAATAGTTCTTGGTTCTAAAGGCAACATTTCAAGAGAGATGTTGACAAACTAACAGGTGAAGGAAACTGTGCTGAGGAGTCCACAACCAAGAATCTCTTACTGTGTGACCCAACCTACCTGTGGTCATTGTCTCTTCAAGTAGCACATAGTCTGTTATCCAGTCTCTCAGAGGTGGTGTCTTCTTTCAAGTTTCCATTCTTTTGCACAGACCCATCTCTGTCTCTCCTTGGTGAAGTCCTACTTGAACTTCAAGCCCCAATTTAAATATTGTCTCTTCACAAAACCTTCCCTTGATTTCCTTAGAAACCATCTCTGGGTTTTCATAGCACATAATCCAAAAATTCCACAAAAGTTTTCTTTATAAGATGGTGGTATCTTCTTAAAAAAAATATAACTGTGTATTATTTATATAAATTATTAAGTTTCACTGTTGTGCTGGCTAGTTTTATGTCAACTTGATACAGATCCTTGATTAAGGAAATATCTCCATAACATCAGGGTATAAGCAAGCTTGTAGGGCACTTTCTTAATTAGTAATTAATGTGGGAGATCCCATGGCCTCCCCATCAGCTCCTGCCTCCAGGTCCCTGCCCTGTTTGAGTTCCTCTCCTGACTTTCTTCAGTGATGAACAGTGATGAGGATGAACAGTGATGAGGGAGGGTAAGCCAAATAAAACCTTTCCTCCTCAAATTGCTTTAATCCTGGTATTTCATCACAGCCATGATAACCCTAAATAAGACAACTGTGATATTCCATGAGAGATGCATATAACTTGCTTAGGTCCTGTCCATCCTCACTACTCTTCCCTCTTCCTCATTTTCTGGACTTTCTCCCCCTTCCCTCATAGCCCCTATTCTACTTTCAGACACTTTAGTTTCTGCATGGGAGAAAACATGTGATATTTGTCTATCAAGACCCATGTAGTAAATTGGAGGCTTTATGAGTGGCATGACCTCTGTCACAGCTACTCAAATCTGCTCTTTTGGTTTGAGGACAGCTTAGATGGTATATGAGTGGACAAGTATGACTGTATTCTAGTGAAACACTAAAATTCCCATCACTGTCACATGTCAAATATATTCTGTTGATCTCCTCCAACCATTTAATCATTTATTGTTCCAGTACTATACAAAACCACGCAGCAGACTAGATTTGGGCCAGTGGCATTTTCCTGGCCTCTGATCTAATTGGTTTATTATTTTATTCATTCATACATTCATTCACCTATGGAACAGTTAGAGTTACCAAGTCCAGATACTCCTATAGAATTTCTGTCCCAGAGAACAATACAGTTCCTGGTGTATTTTAAGAGGAAAAAGTAATAAATGATCGAATAAAGGAATAACCAAAGAAAAAAAGATACTTAAATCTTTGCTAATTATCTCTTCTATCACTGTATAACTATACTGACTTAGCATATGAGTGAGAAACACTGTCTAAACAACAGTGATCAATTTTATAGTCTCTGGAAATGTTATTTTGGAATCTTCATCTGAAGGTAACATTTACATTTGTTGGTAAAGAATACTACCAAAGTGATGTGTTTGGGGTGGATTGACATTTTATGTGCTAATATGGGTAAATGGGTAAACTGTAGGACAGGAAGTTTTTAACTAAAGAGAAGTTTCATTTGAATGTGCCTAAAGACAGTTTTATATTCTATAACTGTTGTATCTTAAGTAGTAAAACCTAGGGTTGGATTGCAGCGATGAAATAAGTCATTTGCTCAGGGATTAATTAGCTTTTAAAAATATAACAAGTTGCACTTGTGTAGTTTTTCAGTGTTGTAGCATGCAAGATAGCGTTGCAAAGCATTTTAATCACGAAGACATAATGCATGACTGTTTTCTTTCCACAGGCGGGATAAACTTTGGATTTGCATGGAGTTTTGTGGAGGTGGCTCTTTACAGGACATATATCATGGTGAGACAGAGTTGCTTATAGATGCTAATCAGACTTTCTTAGTCTGCTCTCTGTTGTATCCAAATGTCAGTATTGTTGTAAGAAAAGAAAGCTATACTTCTACTTGTTAATTGCTTGATATGTAAAGATGAAAGGGGCATTTCCTTTATACAAGAGAAAGCTGTACACTCTGGAATTACTTGCTGACTTTGAAGGAACTTTGTACTTAGCTCAAGACTTTATAAACTCTGCCCTCACAGAAATACAAAGTTCTTGATGACAGAATACCATGATACAGAATTTCATGAGTTCGATGGTTTAAATGAGAATTGCCCCCCTTAGGCTCATAGGTTTGCCTGCTTAGCCCCAGTTAATGGAACTGCTTGGGAAGGATTAGGGGGTGTGAGGTGTGACCCATGTTGGAAGAGGTATGGCCTTGTTGGAGAAGGTATGTCCCTGCGGGCGGACTGTGAGCTTTCTCTCTGGCTGCAGTTTGTGAATCAGATATGAGCTCTCTGCTGTTACTCCAGCACCATGCTCTCTGCCATGATGACAGTGGAGTAAACCTCTGAAACTGATTGTTATCTCCTATAAGTTGCCTGTTAAGTGCTGTCTCTCTCAGTAAGAGAAGTGATGGTGATTCTAAAGTCATTGGCTTTGCTCTCAGATACTCAAGGAGCAGTACTTAAATGTTTGTTCAGTCTCTTAGTGCAAAAATCTAGGCAATTAGAAAATGATTAAAACTGTTTTTGTTGAGAGTCAGTGGTATAATACAGAGGACTTATAAGATAAATGTACTTTACTATTTTCTATGGGTTTTGTTTTGTTTTTGTCTCCCAATTCTATCCTGGTTCTGACCAGAGCAGGCTTATTCTTTCTCTGCACATTTACTTTTTGATTAATGTAAAACACAGTATCTTCATAATTCAAAAAGTAATTTTTTTCAGAAAATATTTGGATTTTTTTTTTTTTTTTTTGGTATAGAATTTGAGTTCATGTTCCCTGATGTGGAGACTCTAAGATGTTTTCGTGGTTGATTATACTAAAGATGGTGAAAGGCCACTTTGATGGGAATTTTACTATGCAGAGTTCATTTATATCACTTTATCTTCCTGGTAAGAATGGTGTTTAGTGGAGTTCTTGCTGTGTTTTTATTTTATAAACTAGTGTTTTATTATATTACAACCACAATCAAAGAAGGAGAAAGGGAATGGTAGGTTCTTTGAAAGTGTCTTCAAAAGCTCATAGGGAGAGTGGGCCTTGTTTGTCTTGAGAAGATAGGCAAGTCTTGGGTAGAAACAGGAGGAAATGTATTCTAATAGATAACTTTGTGGAGTGGCGGTGGCGCTGTGGCATGCAGAGGTCACTCCAGTTAGGCTAGAAGGGTACATTTAGGGGCTGGACTCACAGGTGGGAGCCTTGAAAGCCAGGCAGAGCATGTGTGATTCTTGAGATTGAAACCTGGACCATGGCATGGCAAGCAGTGCTCTACCACCAAACCATATCCTTCACCCAGTAATCACTCTTAAAAATAAATTAAAGAAAAACTTTATAAGCACTGGGATTCTTGGAAGAAAAGACCTTCTCTTTCACTGGATAAAGCAACCTAAGACGTTATACTATTCCCCACATAATGGCAGCATGGAGACAGGGGAGTAGAGAGGTATATACAAAAAGAAAAGGAAGCTTATTTGACATGTCTACATAAGCCAACAGCATTACAGACTAGTCACAGAGTATTGCATACTGCAAGGACCTTAATTACTTCATGGAAACCTGGCTACAGCCAAAAGAGTGACCATCATGGCAGTGGGAGCATGTGAAGGAGGCTGTTTACGTCTTGCCTGACAAGGTGCAAAGGAAAAGTCAATACTGGAGAGGTCCAAGGCAAGATACAGCACCAAGGACATGTCTCAAGTGACATACTTCTTCCCACTGCCACCCCAACACCTCCGACTTAATGCCTCTCCATAATGCCATGATATTATAAACATCAGAATATCAATATAGTTATTAGGTCAGAGCCCTCATGGTCCACTTGTCTATAGAAAGGCCATCACAGACACATTCAGATGTGCCTCACAGATTTTCCCAATTGTTACTTAATCCCATTGACAATGAAGATTAACCACGATGTTATCAAATTTCATAGTCACTTGTGCTCTCTATGTCAGTGCTTGAAACTGGGTAATCCTTAAGCAGAAAAAAACATTTCCTATAATCCTGGAGACTGAGAAGTCTAAGATCAAGGTGCTAGCAAGTTCAGTGTCCAGGAAGATATGTGATTTCATCTAGTGATGTCATATGGTAGAAGAGAAGAAAGGGAAGCAAAGACTGGCACATTGCTTTTAATACTGTTCTTAGAAAGTAGCCTTAATCTCATGGGGTTCATCTCCTAGGATCTTACCTGCTAATACTGTCATGCTGAAGTTTAAACATGAGAAGCTAAAAGGATGGCCAAGAGGATGAAGCATTTGCCATGCAGGTGTGGGGACAGTAATTTGAACTCCAACACCATATAAATGCCAGGCTAGAGCTGTGAATCCCACACTTGCAAGATGGACGCAGAGAATCCCAGAACAAGATCACTAGCTAGACCAGCTGAGTTGGCAGACTGGTTCAAGTGAGAGAGCCTGTCTCAATACATAAGATCAAGAGTAGCTGAGGAAAATAGGCTGCATCATTCTGTGACCTACACACACGTACATACACCTACACGTGCATGTGCAGTCACAGATGAACACATACCGAGTGCCCACACAGGAAATACTGTTTGTATAATTCTGTACATCCAGTGAATGATCTATGATAGCCACACTCTGAGTTTTCAGTGAGTGAGGTCATTAAGTATATAGCAAGCAAAAGAAAAAGAACAGGTAGCAAGTAGCAAATAAATAGAAGCTTTAGATAGATTGTATAACATCAATTCATGACTTTACAGCATCCAACAGAAATGCCTGGGGTAGCCTGATGACAGAGCAAACAAAGGCAGCACCAACAAAAACCCAGCAGAAATTGACTTAGGAAGGTTGCAGTCAGCTGGAGTTCCTAGTTGACTTTTCTCTCCATGGAGGGTTTGCAGCTTTCCTTCCATGGGCATTTGTATGTGGGAGATGAACAGCACTGGCCTCTGTTGAAGAGGCTCTTGTCAAGGGTGCCGTGTATTTAACACTCTTTGCTTTTGCTGGTTTTCTGTCTCCCCATTACAGAGGTGGGGCCAGCCCAACCCAGGACAGGAGCTTCTGGAGGAGACCGAGAGGGCCTCCTCTTCTTTCCACAATCTTAAATGGCACATGATGATTACTCAGTGCAATTTACATTACAACTATGCTAAAAATTAAGGCATGTATGTTGCTGTAGGAAAATGTCTATGGTAGTGAAAGGGCAGGTTTCAGAATCGTGTGTGCTGAGTTTGCTTTTGCTCATTTGTATGTGTAGTACATATAAACCTAAATGTTCAGTTTACAGGCTTTTGACCTAAGCAGTGGCATGAAGGGCACATACACTCAGTATAAACCGTATGCCAAATTTTGAATGTAACCTTTTAGGAGGCTACGTTTCTATATCCATGTAGAGTAGGAGCACCAGTATTCTTGCTTATGTTAGTCAATGGTAGCAAGCTGCACATTCCACTAAGCAACAAGGTCCTGCTTCATGTGTCCAGGGCTGCTTATATATGATGTCATTTGTGACATACGAAACTCATTTTTTCACCTAAACTATTGTCAACCTAAAATGGGTTTATCCGGAACATTTCCCATTATAAGTTGAAGATCATGTATTATATAAAATGCCTGTATAAAATCAAGTTTTATAACCAAGCCTTTTTTAAAATTTTTTTATTAATTACACTTTATTCACTTTGTATCCCCCCTGTAGCTCCCTCCCTTTACCCCCCCAAATCTTTCCTTTCCTCCCCCTTCTCCCCTCATGCCCCTCCCCCAGTCCATTCATAGGGGAGGTCTTCTTTTCCTTCTTTCTGATCCTAGTCTGTTAGGTCTCATCAGGAGTAGCTGCATTGTCTTCCTCGGTGGCCTGGTAAGGCTGCCCTCCCTCAGGGGGAGGTGATCAAAGAGCAGGCCAATCAGTTTTTTATATTATTGAGTATGGATAAAGAAGGTACCTTTGCTTTTTTAACTTCTGTATTGATTAGAATTTTCATGGTGAACATTACCTTTTATAACTTTAATAGTAATGCTTTTAGGAAAAAAGTTTGATTTAAAGCCAGCTGTGATGTATGTTACTCATCAATAAAGAAGGTAATGAGAGCTAGGTAAGCCACTTGGCCATTCTCTTAACATCTGTGAATATTGGATCAGCAATGAGTAAAATAAAAATGTAATCAATGTTAGCCATTCAATTGTTTATAAATACCTGGCTTTTCTGTGCCAGGCACTGTTTTAAACACTGGGGATACAACAATGAGCATGTTGAACTTAAAAAGAATCAAAATTAAAGCTCTGCCTTTTTGGCATTGGGTTTAGTGGAATTGTTTAGGTATATTGAGTCTGTTCTTACTGGATTTATAAACTTGGTCACTTACTGGAAAACGTGTTGCTTAATCTTGCTTTTTTTTCTTCTCTTACAGTAACTGGACCCCTCTCAGAACTGCAGATTGCATATGTTAGCAGAGAAACACTACAGGCAAGTCAAATTTAAAGTACTAGATTACTAAATGTTTACTTACTGTGTATTGCTGTTAATGGACAAGATAATCTAGTTTGAAAAACTCTTGAAGACTTTTAATACAATTTTTTTTATGTTGTTTTGTTTTTGTGGTGCTGAGGGTTGAACCCAGGCCTCATACATGGTAGACAAGTGCTCTATATACCAAACTGTTTCTGGCCCTTAATACATTTATATATTGTTATAAATGCAAGCTGTATTTACAATTAATACTGCAAAGCCTAAAGATTATAACCTAGAATTCAAGCACTGTGGGTCTGTATATTTGCTTGATAACAAAGAAAGGCTTTACAGTTCAGTAATATCAGAGGAATTAAAATTTATTCTGGTTCTAGTGGGACATACACTTTAAAAATTCAAACGATTTGCAGAGTTTACTAAATGTTATTTTAGAAAAATCACTGGTTCTTTATGAGCTTTATCTTTTTCTTCTTGACTATATTGTCTTCTATAATACTTAATTATAATAAGCTGATATTTGCTACTTGGTTTTCTATAAAGAGTAAATAAAATAGTGACTACAGCTCAGTTATGCTATGTTTGATAAACTTTGTTTATTTTTCTATTTTTTTGAAACTCTAGGGGTTGTATTATCTTCACAGTAAAGGAAAAATGCACAGAGATATAAAGGTATACATTATATTATTTGACCTGTTTTTCACTTTTAAATAACTTGTTTTTCATTTTTAAATAGTTTAATTCAATCACTGTGTAGAATTCTTTTGATTATTCTACTTGATAATAAGCTTGCTACCTGAAATATACTATAGTAATAAACATGAGTGATCAGTGATAAATGTTGTCTATCATTACATTTTAGAGTGGCGTTGTGGAGGCAGGAACACATACAATAAAGTCTGCCTCTGTAAAGTGTGAGATTGAGTGGGCTAGGTTGGAGTTTTCTCATTTGGTTTTGGAGTTATTTTGAGACATCATGTCAAATAGATCAGACTGTCTTCAGACGCACTATGTAGCTGAGAATGTTTTTGAATTTCTGTTCCTTTTGTCTTTGTCTGCTGGAATTATAATAGGCAAGCACTACCACACCTGGCTGGATTAACGCATGTGTAACTGTTTGTTTATATGATATAAATTTGCTCCATAGCTTCCAAAAAATTACAGTAAATTGTGTTTACTGCATTATCAACTAAGTTTGTCACTCCTAGGAAAATGTATCTTATGTAAGATATAGTTGGTAATCTATCAGTGCAGGTGAATGGGGCCCCGACAGTCTGTGGTCTTCTCTGTGGCTCTTGGAAGAGAGCAGCACTCTGGACAAGCTGGGATTAGCTTAGTAAGGATGCTGTTTCTATAGATACTCGATCTTCAGTCAGAATGGTTCTTTCTTTGTTTACTTCCTTATACCATTCTCTTGTTTTGCTTTTTTTCTCAAGTCTTTGTAGTATAAAACTTCTTAACCTTTTGTGGGGAAAGGTGATTCATGTTGCTTTCCTGATCCCTGATGAAAGCCCTGGACTCTGTCCTCAGAAAACACCCGTATACCCATACATTCTAGTGTTTCCTGGAATATAAGTGAATTTGTGAATTCCTACTCTGGGTATTTTCCATAAGCCACTTAAAAGACATGAACAAAGAGCTTTGTCTTAAAGGTAAATGAGCTTCTGTAGAGGTCAGTACTGAGGAAGAGTCCATGTCATTGTCCTCAGACGACAAGAAGGGCTGGTAGGTTTTTGTCAGAAGTGAAGAATGCCATGTTCTCCAAGTGAAATAATAGTACAAACAGAAATATAAAGCGAAGCATGAGGCCATTATGGAGAATATATTATTTATATTATATTATTGAGGAATAGAAAGTATATCGGTTTCATAGGTGATAAGCTTGGCCTGGTAATTCTGTACTCCCTTGTACTCTGATTCAGGTGTCAGGCTTTAGTTCGGGTAAATTCTGACCGTCCCCACAGCCTCAGCCCTTGTCGTTATAGTCTATCTCCCCTGTATTGCTGGTTGCATTGCTTCCATTCGTGAGTGGGTCTGTAGTCACCGTTATATGTGACTAATAGAATGGCCTTTTGCAGTCAGATCGTGCTACTCCCCTGCTTGTTGGCACCGTTGATTTCCCATGGTACCTACTGAGAAATGGGGGTGCTTGGACCATGGCCAGCAAGGTTATGCATGATCCAGGCCCTGCAGCATCTCTCAGAGCTTGCCTCACACTCTATTCCTCTCTGTTTTACTCAGTATATCTCAGCCACACTAAATTTTCTGTTCTTGGAATATTTCAGGCTCATTCTGGTTCTAGGTCTTTCTTTGTGTTTAATGTTCCTTCTTCCTAGAATATTCTTGTTCCAGATTTAGGTGTAGCTGTCTGTCCTTACTTCATTGAGACTCTGCTTAAATATCATAAGCTTTCAGAGGACTGCCTTTCCATGCTTTGTCTTCAAAGATTGTTCCTGCCTGACTTTGAATCTTTTGTTGGTCCATAGATATCATTTATCTTCTTTCCCATTTACATACACAAACACCGGCACTTGCTCATCTGTGTACACCAGAACTAAAGTACCTGGCTGGCAGTCAGTGGTCTTTCAGAGAGCGCAAGGGATGGATGGAGGGAAGGGCAGATGGGTCAAAAGCTGTGTTGTGTATGTGGAATGATAGAAGTTGTAACTTAGGAAAATTAGCCTGACAATAGGGACAGAACATATCAAAGACTGGCAGAAGTCTAAATGAGCAGAGGGGCATTCATTAAAAACCCCATGAGACCCCATAGCGTTTTCTTCCTTGTTCCACTATCCCATAGCTCAGTGGTATCGTAAGTGGGTATAGCTCCATTTCATGGATGACATTCCAGGTATTTAGAACCCTCCTCCCCACATCCCCTTCTACGGTTCTGCTGTTTCTTTCCCTGGTTGGTTGGAGGTAGAGGAACAAGGGTGGAGAATATAGTAATCATGTCTAAAGCATAATCAGAGCAATTGAAATGCTAGGTTAAAATAGCATTTTAGTGTAGCAGTTGTGTGTGATCAGCCAGGAAGTAGCGTTTAGGTGAAAGAATATCACCTCTGTGTTAGCATTCATAGCGTGTTAGCAAGGAGCCCCTTTTAAGGGAGCACATTATGTAAACCTCATGAAATTACCTAAAAAGTGGACATCATTTTTCCTATAATTATGTAACATTTTAATGGAACACATTTCAAATTTAAGTATTTCTAGGTGTAAGGCTGTGGTTATTTGTATAGTTAACCTATTATGTGTTTCACCTAATAAAATGTCGGCTTCCCACTCAACTAAATGTTCTCACTTTGAAGGGCGCTAACATTCTATTAACGGATAACGGTCATGTGAAATTAGGTAAGTAAATCAGAATTCCATTGCATGCACAAAGCTTTTCTAAAATGTAGCTGGATTTGGTTTGGGTTTTTGTTTGTTTTTCAGGACTATAAGTCCCAGATCCTAGATCATTCCCAGGGACAGCTTATTTACTTTTTCAATGGTGATCTCATTGTAGGACCAGTCTCTCTGTCTGATTTTCCTTCCCCTAAGCAAGGGTAAAGTTTGTTCTTTACAAGAAGCAGATTTTTTTTTTCAAAGATACTATGAAATAATACGCACTAGATAACTCTTTTACTTCTAAACCTAAGGGTTGGGCTTCTAGTAGGGAATCTTTATGATATTGTAACCAGAAATGAGGAAAAAAAAAAAAACATTAAAAATCCAGTAACTCCAAAAATCTTACATCATTTATCTAACTTTAAAAAACAAACACACTATTATTTATATAAGAAAATAATTTAGGGGTTGGGGATTTAGCTCAGTGGGAGAGTGCTTGCCTAGCAATTGCAAGGCCCTGGGTTTGGTCCTCAGCTCTGGGGACAAAAAAAAAAAAAAAAAGAATATAATTTAGATGCTAAGTGTTGCTTTACTTCAAACACTAACTTACAAGGTATGATTAAAATAAAGTTCAAAACCAGTAATGAATTACTGTGAGTTTAAAACAGGAAAAGTGTTCAACATAGTAACTTTATTAACTGGTAACAAGAACGTAATAACAAATGTGGGATAGTTATTTTGAACTATTTAGGACAAATGAAATTTCAAAATAGGCATTTGTAAAAAATAAAAACGAGCCCATTGTCTCCATATTTCTTCAACATAGTACTTAAAGTCCTAGCCAGAGCAATAAGACAACTAAAGGAGATCAAGGGGATACAAATCGGAAAGGAAGAGGTCAAAGTGTCACTATTTGCAGATGATATGATAGTATATATGAGCGACCCCAAAAATTCAACCAGAGAACTCCTTCAGCTGATAAACACCTTCAGCAAAGTGGCAGGATACAAAATCAACTCAAAAAAATCAGAAGCCCTCCTGTATACCAAAGACAAAAGGGCCGAGAAAAAAATTAGGGAAACAACACCCTTCACAATAGCCACTAATAACATAAAGTGCCTTGGTGTGACTCTAACCAAGCTAGTGAAAGACCTGTTTGAGAAAAACTTCAAGTCTCTGAAGAAAGAAATCGAAGAAGATATCAGAAGATGGAAAGATCTCCCGTGCTCATGGATTGGTAGGATTAACATTGTGAAAATGGCCATCCTGCCAAAAGCAATCTACAGATTCAATGCAATTCCCATCAAAATACCAACTCAATTCTTTACAGACCTTGAAAAAAAGATTCTCAGCTTCATATGGAGAAACAAAAAACCCAGAATCTCCAAAACGATCCTGTACAACAACAGATCATCTGGAGGTATCTCCATCCCTGATCTCAAGCTGTACTACAGGGCAACAGTAATAAAAACTGAATGGTATTGGCATAGAAACAGAAAGGAGGATCAATGGAACTGCATAAAAGACCCAGAAATAAACCCACACACCTATGAATACTCGATATTTGACAAAGAAGCCAAATCCATTCAATGGAAAAAAGACAGCATCTTCAACAAATGGTGCTGGACCAACTGGATGTCTACATGCAGAAAAATGAAAATAGATCCATATGTATCACCCTGCACAAAACTAAAGTCGAAATGGATCAAGGACCTCAATATAAAACCACATACTCTAAATCAGTTGGAAAAAAAAGTGGGGAAAAGCCTAGAACTCATTGGCACAGGAGACAACTTCCTGAACAGAACACCAACAGCACAGGCTCTTAAGAGCAACAATCAATAAATGGGACCTCATGAAACTGAAAAGCTTCTGTAAAGCAAAAGACACTGTCATCAAAACAAAACGACTGCCTACAGATTAGGAAAGAATCTTCACCAACCCTTTATTTGACAGAGGGCTAATATCCAGTATATATAAAGAACTAAAGAAGCAGAAAAGCAACAAACCAAGTAATCCAATTAAAAAATGAGGAACGGAGCTAAACAGAGAATTCTCGATAGAGGAACATTGAATGGCTGAGAAACACTTAAAGAAATGCTCAACCTCATTAGCCATTAGGGAAATGCAAATCAAAACAACCCTGAGATTTCACCTTATATCCATCAGAATGGCCAAGATAAAAAACTCAAGTGACAACACATGCTGGAGAGGTTGTGGAGAAAGGGGAACCCTCCTCCATTGCTGGTGGGAATGTAAACTGGTACAACCACTTTGGAAGTCAATCTGGCGCTTTCTTAGACAATTAGGAGTAGTGCTGCCTCAAGACCCAGCTATACCACTGCTAGGTATATACCCAAAATTTGCTCAAGTACACAACAAGGGCATTTGTTCAACCATGTTTGTAGCAGCTTTATTTGTAATAGCCAGAACCTGGAAACAACCCAGATGTCCATCAATGGAGGAATGGATACAGAAATTTTGGTATTTTTACACAATGGAATACTACTCAGCAATCAAAAAGGAGGAAATCATGAAATTTGCAGGCAAATGGTGGGATCTAGAAAAGATCATTCTGAGTGAAATATCCCAGAAAGAGAAAGACAAACATGGTATATACTCGCTTATATAGACCTACAAGATATGATAAACATAATGAAATCTACATACCTAAAGAAGATAATCAAGAAAGCGGACACGGGTGAAGATGATCAATCCTCATTTAGAAAGACAAATGGGATGTACATTGAACGTATGACAGGAGTCTACCCAAAAGGCATCTGAAAGACTCTACCTAGCAGTGTTTGAAAGCAGACACTAAGACTCATAACCAAACCCTCAGCAGAGTGCAGGGAATCATATGAAAGAAGGGGAGTTAGTATGATATGGAAAGGATAGGAGCTCTACAAGGACCAAATATATCCAGGCACAGGATCTTTTCTGAGACTGACACTCAACCAAGGACCATCTATGGATATAACGTAGAACTTCTGCTCGAATGTGGCCTGTGTTAGCTCAGTAACCAAGTAGTTTTCCAAAGTAAGGGGAACAGGACTATTTCTAACAGGATCTCAAGGGCAGGCTCTTTGACCTCCCCCCCCCCCAAGGGAGGAGCAGTCCTGTTAGGCCACAGAGGAGGACTTTGCAGCCAGCCCTGAAGATACCTGATAAAACAGGGTCAAATGAAGGGGGAAGAGGTCCTCCCCTATCAGTGGACTTGGAAAGGGGCAGGGAGGAGACCAGGGAGGGAGTGTGGGGTTGGGGAGGGAATGAGGGAGCGGGCTACAGCTGGGACACAGAGTTAACAAAATGTAACTAATAAGAAAAATAAAATTAAAAAAATAAATAAATAAAAATAAAAACGATAATAGGGCTCAGGATGGAGGCTAAGTGGGCATCCTTGCCCAGAATGAACAAGGCACTCACTGGGTTTGTCCCCAGCTACGTAATATAAATAACAAACACAACTGCTCTGAACTACATCTTGCTATAGGACTTATCAGATTGAAAATATTTATCTAGTAATTAACAAGATAAGTTCCCTAACAGCCTGTCAGGAAGGGAAAAGCAGAAAGGATTCGCCCTTTTCTGCTCCGGCCTATGCCCTTCGTGTCTTCTTATTGAGCAGTTTCTATGAGCAGCTGAGGTTAGTGCCATGTTCCATACCTTCCATACCCTCAGGATGGATTTAAAATCGTCAGTCACACTAGAAAGTGTGACAGCTGAGCAGACTTAAGGAATAGTAACAGTCTCCGTTAGTGGTCAGCGTTGGCTTCCGCTGCAGAGCGCTGTGGATGTAAGGCTCTGCGGGATGTTGTGTTTCGGTGTCTGTTCAGGCTAGATAGTTACCAGTGGGCGTCTTCGTCTGCAAATGTCATTCTGCATCTGGTAGAGAGTGAAAAGAACTTACAGCTACTCAAAGGGCCTTTCTAGTAAGGCTCCGAGAAACTAGACATTATAATATCGCTATGTGTTAGCTTCAGTTCTCCTGAGCACTTTATTGCCTATCAAAATTATTTGATTTTAACCTTTGTTGTTTGATTCATGTTTATTACATGGGAATTCATTTGGTTGTGCTACCAAAGTTAAAAACTGTTAACATGTTTAAGATTGTTTCATTCCTGTGAAATTGATGAAAATGGTTATTGAAAGTCACTGTAGGTATTACCTTAAATGTTTTTTTCTCTCATTTTTTTTTTTAAATAGCTGATTTTGGAGTTTCTGCACAGATAACAGCTACAATTGCCAAACGGAAGTCCTTCATTGGTACCCCATATTGGTAATTTTATCTCATTTTGTTTAAAAATTTTTATTGTCCTGTCATTATTGGATACAGAGTTTCCTTTAAAAAAAATGGCCTAAAACAGATTAAATGAAGGTAATCAGCAAGTTTAGTGATTTAGGCATATATTCTTAGGGATTAATTGCTCAAAAAAATATCCTACATACTGGTTTTCATAAAGCAGGAAAGCATATAAAGTTTCAAACTCTTGTTAGGTTTGCATTGCTTACCACAGATTTTAATAGATGTTTTTATGTCTATCCTTTTTTCTGCCTCCAAATTCTAATTATTACATTATTCACAATTTTCAACACTTTGCTGGTTTTGGTGTAGCTGGGAATTGAACATAGGGCCTCAAACATGGTAAGTACACAGTCCACCCTTGAGCTGTCTCCCAAACCTGTTTTCAGTCCTGGTTGACTGTGATGAAATGCAGGTTTCTGGGCATTTGGGATCTTACATGCCAGGACACCGTTCAGTTCTTCACCTTCTTTCCAGTAATGTCATCTACACATCTTCCTTTCTGGCCACACCTGTCTCCTAGATCGTCCTATCATTCGTTATTTACTCCTTCGTTTTGGCCACTGAACTGTGTGCTGTGTGGCTTCACTGAGCGCTGACAGCAGTGGTAGGCAGGAACAGTGCTGCTTTGGTTTTTAACACTGCATAGTCTTGCTTGCCATGCCTTCAGCCATGATGCTGCCGTCACTCCCAGACATCTCTAGTCCCACCTCAGGTCACAGCTGTACTACTATGTTTTTCAAGCTGGGAGCATGACAAATGTTGTTTTTTATATTGATCTCTTTGTCTGTCTGTCTCTTTCCTCTCTTTCTCTCTCTCCTTTTTTTGAAAAAAGGTTTCTCTGTATAACAGCCCTGGCTATCCTGGAACTTATTATGTAGACCAGATATCTGCCTGCCTCTGCCTCTGCCTCTGCCTCTGCCTCTGCCTCTGCCTCTGCCTCTGCCTCTGCCTCTGCCTCTGCCTCTGCCTCTGCCTCTGCCTCTGGGATTAAAGGCATGTGCCACCACACCTAGCTCTTGATTTGACTCTTTATCAAATACAAAGTTTAAAATGTCAACTAGCGCTAAAATGGCTTTTATTAAAAACAAAACAAAACAAAACTTATAGCTCTGTCTTTTGTTGTATCTAGCACTAGCCGTTATTTGTAGACTTTGTGGTAATAGATGAAGATTTCAGCTTGTTCGTTTGTCTTCCAGTTGTCTTTTTCTTACAGTGTTCTTGCTGAATCAGTTAATAGTCTGCCATTACTCTTCACTGTTTTCCTGAATCTTTGTTTTTAATTTGCTTAAATCTTCTCTTAATCTTCTGTAAGACATCCCATTCCTTCTCACATTGCCCAGTTCTGTAAGATGTGTCTGTATGATTTTCTGTACCTATAAAACCTGTCAAGCTGTTAGTCCTTTGTGTGTGTGTGTGTGTCCATTCGCACGAACTTAACTGTATACCAGGCCAGCACTTTACAGTTGAACTACATCCCCGTTTTGCTTCCTGGTATAATCCTTTCTGGAGTCTTCTCTCCCCTTCCACGCTGGTCTGTGTATGCTCAGGTGTAGCTCTTTAGCAGATCATTGCTCTGGGAGCTCCTTTTTTGCATTCTAAGATTTCCTCTTTTACCTTTTTTGAAATCTGTCTTAGTATGTTTGTGGTAAAAAGTGTATGGTGTATGTAAAGGGTATAAAAGCTTCAGGACTTCGCATTTCTAGCTTCACATTTGATTGGGTGTAGAGCACTAGGTTAGAATTTTGAGGCATTGTATGTGTGGCTTTTCTATAATCCCATGGGAAGCCATCATGTTTCTTTAACCCCTACTTCCCCACATGGTGATGCCACATATTTTGATATTCCATGATGAGTCCTGGTATTTTTAACCTTTATTCATTCATACTTGTCATTTGGATTTTACTTCACAAATGAATGTCCTTCACATTATAGATGGTCCTCCTGGGAATTACTCCATTAGTACTGGCTTGGTCTTTTCTCTCTGTATTTCCTCCTGCTTTCTCTGGGGGTTATTAGTTATGTCTGGGGCACTTGAATCAACCCACTAGTTTTCTCACTTTCTCCCACTTTATTTTTTTATTTGGAGGTTTTTCTTTTGCTTTGTTTTCTGTTTTTCTTCTAGACAGGTTTTCACCGTGTAGCCCTGGCTGTCCTGGAACTTACTGTGTACACCAGGCTGGCCTCTGCCTCCAAGTGCTGTCATAAAAGGCATGCACCACTTCATTCCATTTCTCCCACTTTCTTAAGTTCAAAATGTGGGACAGTCTCTGAATTCAAGGCTAGCCTGATGGTCTGTCTACATAGCAAGTTGTAGGCCTGCCAGTGTTACAAAGGGTCAAAAACAGTCTTCAGATTTCTGCAGGAATTCTCAGCTTTTTAAAAGATTCATACTTTTCATGGTGGAGATGTCCCTCAAAAGTTTAAAAATCATTTCATGTTAGTTAATGCCAAAGAGCAAAATGCTACAAGCTGGTTCTAGAACTGGATCTGGTATACATGCCTCTAGTTCCAGTTTTGGGGAGTCTGAAGCAGGAGACTCATTGGAGCCCAAGAGACTGAGGACACCCTGGAGCAAATTGAACCTGTCTCAGAATGCGAAAGCAAACGTGACTCACATCCATGGTGTAGTAAAGGCTATATTGGCCTGGTGGTTAGTTCTCCCAAAGTGAGCAGGTAAAGGGCACTGGGAACTCAGTATTCTGCACACAGATCTACTTAATTTCTGAGCAAAGCCTGTCCTGTTTCTATTGGTCCTCATCCTGTCCAAACAAGGAAGGAGTCATTGCTGGGGCTCAGGGGATAAGGGTAGGAATCTGGGGGTTAACTATTGATAGGTCATGCTGTTCCTGTCCTCAGCCAGCCTCAACCTGACTTTTGTTACCTTGAAACTCTACAGTATGTGGGTTCAGTCTTTGAGGCTAGCCAGCTGTGAGTTCTCTAACCTCTGTATCCTTGGGTGCCCATCTCCATGCTGTGTTAGTTCTGTTCCCTGTAGTCTCTCTGTGGTTCCAAATAAGGTATGTCTCCTAGGACTTCAAAAGGTATGTGTTGTGTTTCTCCTTAGTCTGCTTTTCTGGCGCTGGTTTGCTTTCAGAGAAGAGCAAGGATTTGAAGAGAATCCATTGTTCTTTCCAGGTACTCTCTCCCCACTTTGTCTTAAGCATCTGGGAGAGCACACACATCTTTGGAGTTTCCCTGATTCTGTACACACGCTCAGTTAGTCTTTGCTGATGAGCACTGATCTTTACCTCCAGCTCCAGAGGTTAAACTGGGAAATCCCTGGGAGCACATGAAGCTGTGAGTTAGGTAAGGTTGTTCCCTCCGCTTTGTCTCTGCCTAATACCATGCCTTTCCCACCTTCATCTAAGAATAGAAAATCTGTCTTGCACAGTGATTAGGAATTACTCAGGAAAGTTTCCTAAAGCAAGAAAACTAAGAATCAATAGTAAACGCACCTTGGGCATCTCACTTGTGATGGTGAAGTTTGCACTTACTCAGCAGCCTTTGGTGGAGAGCCAAGGCCCTTCCCTTTGAGTTGATCACTTACTTTTATTCAGTGTAGAGTTCCATGAAGGATAAGCATCAAAATAAAACAGACTTCCACCATCAAGAAACATTTCCTGGCACCTATGCCTCACCTCTGGAGACTCCTCTAACCTGTCTCTGTAGCTCTTCTGCCCCTTCTTCATGTGTCCTGCATATGGAATCACACCATATTCTAACCTTATTTGCTTGACTTTCTGGTTGTCTTTATAAAGTTGTCCTTAACAAGTTTTTCTAAAGCATTCACTTTAATTTTGGGCCTTTAATTTCTGCCTTTATAATAAGAGTGTTCATCATATTTCATTAAATTAATGTATTTGTAGTAGTAGGCAACCCTGAAACACTGGCCCACAGATGAGTGGCTCCCATGTGAGTGGCAGGAGCAGAACTGCACCGTGGGCTTGGGTAGGGCCACTGAGTGCCTGCCCCGAGGGGCCTTCCCTATCTCAGTAACTAAGACCTAGCACACTTTAAATCTTACTTTTCTTATCTTGGTTTGAATTTTCATGAGCGATATTTTTAGATCAAAATTTAAGACCAAGTGTTTTGAAAGTTGCCTGTTTTTTACTTTTATTGTAACTGACCTGGCTATCCTTCAGTTCTGCTGGAAAACAAAGGAGTGTTTGTAAGGCACCCACTCAGTGCTCTTTGATCTGGAAGAGGTGCATGTTTTCTCAGTTGTTTTCAAAAGTGTGGTTTGGGATTTCAAAGTTTGTGTAATTTGAAAATTAATCATTTAAACAAGTCAAAGTACAATTAGATGAGAACAGTAGCAAAGTTAAAAGGCATTTTAAAAAGTTACCGAGTTTGGGTTCTTTCTGAATAAAACATTTTGAAAAGGAGTCATTCATTTTGATAACTTATCTATTATTATATTGTAAACTTTTTAAAAGCATCAAAAATTTATAGTAAATATAAATTAAATACTAAATGTGAAAATTCTTACAGCCCCAAGAATGGTAAAATAAACACAATACGAAGTTGTAGATTAGTGGTGTAAGCATTGTATAAAACAGTTTAGGGCCATTTGTTACAAATATTATTTTGTTATGGAATTTTGGAGAAAAGAGTCCAAAACTCAGGGAGGCAGGGGCAGGCAAATCACTGTGAGTTCAAGGCCAGCCTGGTATACAAAGTGAGTCCAGGACAGCCAGGACTACACAAAGAAACCCTCAAAAAGAGAGAGAGAGAGATCAGAACATAAACAGTCTGGGGCAGGTTACTGTCATACTGGTAAATTTTCATGAACTTTGTAGTTAGCTAACTGATGAAGGATTCACTGAGGAGGCTGAGATGAGACAAGAATTCTGGGAAAGTGGGACTTTTAAATATGGTGTATCTATTTTCAGACGTCAAGGACTCACTAGAACTTAATTTAGCTACTGGCAAGTCCGTGTGCCTCTGGTAAAGAGAGTCCAGGAAAACACACTAAACATGAGGCTCTGTGTCCTGGCTTATTTCCTGCAGGATGGCTCCAGAAGTCGCGGCTGTTGAGAGGAAAGGAGGGTACAATCAGCTGTGTGACCTCTGGGCAGTGGGCATCACTGCCATCGAGCTGGCTGAGCTCCAGCCGCCCATGTTTGATCTTCACCCAATGAGGTTAGTGGGCCCACCCTACGCCCAGTGCAGATTGATGTGTAGTTACTGTGTCGTGAGTTTATTAGCCTTGTTGGGGTTAGATAGGAGTGTGTTCCTATTTTACAGTGTTCAGTGTTGCAATGTTCAATCTTTTATTTGTTTTTCAGGGCATTATTTCTAATGACAAAAAGCAATTTCCAGCCTCCTAAGCTAAAGGATAAGTTGAAGTGGTAAGCATCTTTATGTGCTGACTTTATAGCAAGATGAGCAAAAATGGAATGAAAATATAGACATTTAATTTTCAACCTTTCTTAGGTCAAATAGTTTCCATCATTTCGTGAAGATGGCACTTACCAAAAATCCAAAAAAAAGACCCAATGCAGAAAAGCTACTACAGGTATTATTTTACCCTGAAACATTCATTTTGTCACAAGATAAGATGTTTAATCACATCTCTAAAGTATTTTATGTGTTTTCTAGCATCCCTTTGTCACACAACCTCTGACAAGGTCTTTGGCAATAGAGCTGCTGGATAAAGTGAATAATCCAGACCACTCCACGTACCATGATTTTGATGATGATGACCCAGAGGTAGGAATTGCTTTACTAACTAGTGTGTGTGTGTGTGTGTGTGTGTGTGTGTGTGTGTGTGTGTGTGTGAATCGATGTTAGATTAAACAAGCCATTGGTTGGAGTAGGTGACTAATTCCTTGTCCTAGGAAGTCACTTGCTAGATTTTTCTTACTGGCTACTTGATGACAAAGATGGAAAAGGCAAAACCATTTAATTCACATGAAATTACTCTAGTTACTTTAAAGTGTTCATCTAGGTTGCTAAGTCCTTAAATGAAAAGCACCTAGATGATGTCACTATAATCTCTAGTCTTCTTGAAAGAACCCTTGTACCAGGCTTTGTAAGATACTGGGAGTTGGTTAAGGTTCTGTTGATTTGTTAACAACTAAACCAGTGATTCTCTACTGTGGAAATAAAAACAAGCCAACGTGTGTTAGAGAGTAAATTTACCCTAACATGACAGGAACATTGGTATTTGTAGAAACTGTATCTGTTAGCATATTCCTAGCATAATATAGCTGTGTGCCTGAGCTCAGCTCGGTATACGTGGTACCCCAAAATTCTGTTATTGCCTTCAATTTGATTGCAAGGCACTCAAGAGGATGAGGTGACCTGAAAGAACAAGAATCCACACTATAGTCAGGTAGATGGGCAAATTGTCCTCGGGAGAACCCTTAGCTCACCATACTCATATACTGATAAATAGACTTGCTTTGATAAGCTCTAAAAAGGAGTTTGGAGGTATGAAAGTTAGGCATGAAGGATATTTGAGCAATACTTGCTTGTATTTCTCTGTTTTTTAGTGGAAAAGGCTGCAGCAGATTTTGTTTAGGTACACCTTTTCCTTCTGCCACAGAGAAAGCTGGTTGCACAGTTACTGGATTATGGAAGTATTCAGTTTTGAATGTTAATTTATATATAGCCCAGTGAGCATTATTGGGAAGCTACTATGGATGAAATACATTCCCTAATCTTTAAAAGCTCTGTTTGGAGAGTAAGAAATAAAACCTACCTTCTGTTAGAGAAATCAGAAACAGTCTACTAGAGAACTCAGAGACAGTTCCTGTGAGAGAATTCACAGACTATGCTACAGAGAAACTGACATTTTTGGGCACAGTATGGTCTGGAGGAGATGCAAGGAAGAACCAAAGATTAAAAACATCAAGACCATTTTAAGTTTTATTGATATTATTTTTAATTATGTGTATGTGTACATGTCTGCGTGGATATGTTCATGTGCATGTCAGTGCCTGCAGAAGCCAGAGGTGTCAAGTCCCCACGGAGCTGGAGTTACATGTGGTTGTTAGCCACCTGATGTGGGTGCTGGGAATGCACTCGGGTCCTCGGGAAGCACCACATGCCCGTGCTTTTAACCCCTGAGCCGTCTCCAGTCCCACTGAGACATTTAAAAAAAATGAGACTCCGCGCCAAAAACTAAATGCTTGAGTTCAGTGCTTATTCTTTACCCTTGAGTAATATCCATGTCCGATGACTACAATCACGGCAAGCTTATATATGATTAAGAGGACATAAGTGATCTAGCAAGATGCTTCCATGCATAAAAACGCTTGCCTCTCAAGCCTGACAACCAGACTTCCATCCTCAGAACCCACCTTGGAAAGAGAGACCTGACTCCCAAAAGTTTTCTTGTGTCCTCTACGTGCATTCAAACATACATCATACACACAACACACATGCATACACATACAACAATATTATTATTATTATTATTATTTAAAAGTAAAAAACATCTAACCATAAATGATTATTCTTCCATTTGATGGGTTCCTGTGACCAAGTATTTGAATAATGGATTTCTTTTTGTTAAATAACAGCATACATGATATAAAGATATTTAGAATAAACTTTTAAAGGAAGTTTAAAAGATTAATTAAATTATTTATTAAATTACTTTTGGATATTTACTATGATTGCCCATGTTCTAGTGTGCCATTGCTGTGACAAAAGTGACCAAAACCAACTTGGGAGGAGAGGGTTTATTTGGCTTGCAGTCAAAGACATGGTCGCTCACTGAGGGAAGCCAAAGCAGAACAGGAACCTGGAGGCAGGAGCTAAAGCAGACACCATGGAGAAACATTGCTTACTGTCTTACTCTTCATGGCGTTCTGCTTTATTATATCTGCCAGGATTACCTGCACAAAGGTAGCACCGCTCTCAATGCACTGGGCACTCTCATAGTAAATATATATATATATATATATATAATATGGGATATATATATATCCCATAGACTTGACTGCTAGCCAGTCTGATGGAAGCATTGACCCTTTTTGTTCAGACTGACCAAAAGCTAGCCAACATAACCATTTACCTTCTTTTAAAAAGGAAAGGAAGTTGAAAGAAAAGAAAGATTATGCTGTTTATATCTTGTAGCATTCCTAGAAAATTTAAGGGAGACCATTGCTGGGGCAGGTACAAGGTTTTTCTGTGGTAAGGTGTATGTGCCTGGTTATACTTTAAAAGATGAGGACCTGAAAATAATCTTAAGAGGACATCAGAGCATCAGAATTCACTTATTGGATCATTGACCTAAGATGAGTTGGCACACATTTTCCTAAAACTCCAGATGGCAGTGGATTTGACCTTGTGCAGAGTGGCCTATCAGTTCCAGGCTTTGCTGGTGAGCCAAAACAGACATGGGTTAACCAGGGAGAGGCTTGGTACTGCTCCAGGGAAGCCTCTTTACAGAAACAGATGCAGGGGTCATGATCAGGAGACATTAGTTTGCTGTGCGCAGCTGCAGTGTGAGCACAGGAAGTTTAACGTGTCCTCTTCCTTCTGGTTCCCAGGAGCATCCTTTAATCCCAGTTATGAAACCAGAATGTCCCCAGTAATGTCATATGTCTATTTATGTACACAATTTTCCTCTGGGCACAAACATTAGCTTTCTAAGGATGTTGGCACTTGTCTCTAATCCTAGCATTAACAAGATCAAAAGTTTAAAGCCAGTGTTTGCTGTATAATGAAATCCTATATGGCTTATGTTAACTAGCGTGTGATTATCATATTTCTATATGTTTTCTTCATGCAAGATAAACATTTTTATTTAGTTCATACTTTAAAGGGCCTATATTTGCATTTGTGTTATCTAATAATATAATAGTCATAGAACCTATGAATAATAACTTGAACCAACATGAAGTGACTTATAAAGAATAAGATTTTGTAGATATTTCAAGAAGCAATCTTTTTAAAAAAGTCAACCAAGCATGGTTGTGCAGACCTATAATCTCAACACTTAGGAGATACAGACAAAAAGATTAAGAATTCAAGGCTAGCCTCATCTGGAGAGTCTGAGCTACATTTAATCTTAAATTTCAAAGAAGCAGCTGGGCATGACGATACATGTCTGTAATGCCCGCACTCGATGTAGAGGTAAAATCCTCCAGCCCACAGAGGTGCTGTTAATTAAAAGGAAGGGGTTGCGCAGATGACACAGTGCTTAAGAGTGAGAGCTGTTGCCTGAGGACCCAAGGTTAGTTCTTGGAACACAATGTTGGCAGGAGAGAACTGACTCCCTCAAGCTGTCCTTTGACCTCCACATGTGTGCCAGGCCGTGTATGTGCACACATTCATATACATAGCTATTAAATGGATAACTGTGATTGTTTATTTTATTTACAATTCTCAATAAATCTAATAAGTGACATATTTTCATTTCTCAGGTCTTTTAGAAAGCAAGGAATGCATGGAAAGTATTGTTCAAAAAGAAAGTTCAAAGTTATTCATTATTGTTTGTTTCTTTAGATGCCATATTAGGATGGTTCTTACTTCATTGCTGGTTTTGTAAATTACTGTTTTCTCTGCACTTAGAAACTTATCACAGCAGATTTCTATGGCTCGTGCACCTTAAATTTATTGAGAACAATTCGTGTTTGAAAGGTCAAACCTAAATTTTGTTTATTTTTTGAGAATGTGTTTCTGTGGCCTTTCTCCCTCCAGAGCCCCCTCCCTCTGCCCCAGATTCTGAACCCTTTTCTGCCTGTTCGATCTCTTCCTTTTGGCCACATTAACGTAGATTGTGTCCAGTGTGATCTCACTTGCTTTACTTCAGGGTCGGTGTCATGACAGCCCTTTCTGCCAGTGTGCGTTTTTTCTGTACAACATCTTACTCCAGACATGTGGGTGGAAGACTCCATTCAGTCTTGGGTCCCCCTCTGTTCTCATTCTGGGAATAGTATGGCCTCTGGACCATACTATTCATTGTCTAGTCTTCTGGGAATCTGATTCCTGACCTGCTGGAGATTTCATTCCCAAAGAGCTTCCTTAAGCCATAAGTTTCAGTCATTCTTTGATATTTTGAGCCCATGGCAGCCCTCACACTGAGGGCAAGCTTTCCGAAAGCAGTTTCTGTAAACAGCTCCTTTACAGATTACACATTCTCATTGACTTACCTTTTGCTAGCAGAAATGACAATGGTGTATCTAAATACCAGAGAGAGAACAATGGAATGAAGAACCTGCTTTTAATGAATTTGGAGCAGGGCGTCTGAAAAGCAAATGCTGGGGTTGACATAATTACACAGTTTTGAACAGTTTTGCTTCAGTCAGTCCAACTCCTATGTGGCAAAAAAATGAAACTTGCCATTATCTCCTACCATCTGCAAGTCAATGTGTAGTTAATGTGCTTACAAAGATCTGTGAGTCAAAGAATAAGCTGTAACAGCCACCTGAGGGCTGGCTAGATGGCTCAGGTGTTTTCTTTTTAGCCTGACAACCCGAGTTCCATCCCTGGGACCCATGTGGTGGGAAGAGAGGACCAACTCTCCCAGGTTGACCTCTGACTGCCCCACACATGCGTACACAAACATAAATAACTAAAATGAAATTTTAAATGAATAAAAGCTGCCTGCGCGCCATCATGAAATTCTGTCTACAGATCTTCATAGGGCTGTCTTTTCTCTGCATAATGTTTTTTATTTTTCTTTTCATTCTTTCACTTGGAGACGGTCTCATTATAATGCTCAGGCTGGCCTTCATCTCCTGCTGTCAATTCTTCTCCCCACACCTCTGCTTGAGTACCTGAGCCTGTAGGTGTGCCCTACTGCTTCTGGCTTTTCTGGATGACTATCAAGGGTTCATTCTTATGAAATGGATCTGTGGGTGTCTAATGTGCTACAAATAAACAGATACATGATTTAATTCTTTGTGTGTTTCACCCAGTCACAGAAGCATGTTCTACCAGAATGAAAACAATTTGCTTTTTTGTGAACAACTTAAAATATTAAAATATTCTTATTTTATTCTTATTTTTGAACTGGAACTGTAATTACCTTTTCAAAATATGAAAATTTGCTTAACTCTGATTTTTGTAAAATGAAACATTTCATTTATCCTTGAATAATTTTGTGGATAAAACTATGACTTTATTATTAAGTGTTACATATCGATAATTTTGGTTTTTTTTTTTTTTGAAGCCTCTTGTTGCTGTACCACATAGAATTCCTTCAACGAGTAGAAATGTGAGAGAAGAGAAAACGCGCTCAGAGATAAACTGTGAGTACAGACTCCGCCACTGACAAATCAGTGGCAAAGGTGAAAATTTAAACTATAGTTTAGTTGAAATTATTTTTTTATTTTCTTTAAGGTATTTGTTTTCTTTGTCAACACTGTTAGATGTAAAGTGAGAGCTATACGAATTTCATTCCCTTTGTTCCTCTGTAACTTTCAGTGACAAGAAAGGAAATATATATGTCACATTTGAAAGGAAAGGTAAAGCATCAGAACTAGGGAAGATAGATGTCATCAAGGGAATGAATGCACATTAGCTCCTAAGTTTCTATAAGTCACCTAGAGAGACTTTTAAGTGTGGGAATGAGGGTCTTTTGACAAGCTCCCAGCATGTGTATGCTGCTGTGCTGATGGGCCACACTGTGCGTGAACTTAAGAGTGAAGTCTGCAAACATGTTTGCAAATGTGTGTGTGTGTGTGTGTGTGTGTGTGTGTGTGTGTGTGTGCATGTATGTATGTATATGTTGCAGGAAACTAGACACCTATAGCCTGACTTTTCTGAGGCTTTTGTGTGTACTCTTTATGGGTAGAGACAGATAATAAGCACTGTATTCGTATGTTGAGGGAACACCAGGCTGAATGAAGGCTGTGTGTTGAAGGCTCTGCTTTTGGTAGCTTATGGGTTTGTATTTGAAGCTTTCAAGTCTTGCTTATTATTTTAACGAATATTTCAGGTGTATCTTCATAGGGTTTCTCCTGTTGTGATAAAACACCATGACAAAAGCAACTTGGAGAGGAAAGGGTTTATTTCATCTTAGAGCCGTGGGCCATCATCTAGGGAAGGTGCTTGACAGGAACTCAGGGTAGTGCAGGAGCTGATGCAGAGGTCATGGAGGGGTGCTGTTTACTGGCTTGCTCCTCCTGGCTTGCCCAACCTGCTTTCTTTGCACCCAGGACCACCTGCCCACTGTAGCACCACCTATGTGACCCTGACCCCCCCCCCCAATCAATCTCAGTCATGAAAGTTCACACGCTTGCCCACATGACAGTCTGGTGAGGGAGTTCCCTCCTTTCAGGTGACTCCAGCTTGTTCAAGTTGGCAAAAAAGAAAAACTAGTGCAGGGCATTTTATGATTACATGTGAAATTTGCTATATGGAAGATGTTCCACGATGGCACCTATAAAGACTATATTCTCCATAATGTTGTAAAAGCTGTTGTAAAAGCTTTCTGGTTTGCAGAAAGGCTGTCTGTTGACCTTTTGTATTTAGGAAGCTCCTCTGCCTTCAGCTGAATGTGATAATCAGAAACTCATCACCTTCCCAGATGCTTCATAGCCCCCACATTGTAGGATTTGTTTTGACCCGCAGTGGCTTTTGAAGGGTCAGCAAGTGATAATGTTGGAGCTGTCTCAGAGAAGTTCCCCTGGAGAGTAAGATGCGAACTTGCAGAGGATGGCTTGTGTAAGTGCAAGGAAGTGGTAGAATAAACAGGTGCATCCTGATAGATGGTTACAGACAGACCCCTGGCGTTATTCAGAGTACAGTGTTAGACACTGGGATGGTTAACAGTCGTTTAAACAATAACTGGAAGAGACTGGCAGTGGTAAGCCACAACGTCAAAACAGGAGAGTGTGTCAGCATCACATGCGAAGAACGAGTCTCTGCAGACTTTCTCCTCCTCCCAGGAGTGCATTCCTGTCCACACAGTGTAGGAATAGGGGAAGATGCTGAATAACACTCTTAATGCCTTGCTGAAAGTTATTTGTAAACTCTAATATGAGGTTGTGTGCAAGCAGTGATAAAGGACCTATTCGTGAACAGTTTACCTCTCCAGACCATCCTTTGACATCTGAGCCATTAACAACTACCAGTACATGCATACTCACACATGCTCACACATAGCTAGGATATGTAGACCTGCTTCTCAGCACTTTAAAACTTAGGCTTTTTATTGTCAAATATTCAAATCTCTTGCTTTAGTTTATACTAAAAAGTTTTAAAAGATTTATTTTTATTTTCTGTGTATGGGTGTTTACCTGAATGTGAGTCATATGCAGTGTCCATGGAGGCCAGAAGAGGGCATCAAATCTCCTGGAACTGTTGTTAACAGATGATCATGAGCCACCATGTAGGTGCTAGGTCCTCTGGAAGAGGAACCCATGCTCTTAATGACTAAGTTATGAGAAGTTAAATCAAATCTTCTTTTTTTTTTATGTTCTAATGCATGGTGTATATTAAAACATCAAAGAATAAGGGTTTTGCAGTACAGTTCAGTTGACTCTAAAACATACATTGTCTCACAAACACCAGCATTTGTCTTAGTCACTGGTCTATTGCTGTGAAGAGACACCATGGCCACAGTAAATTTCAGAATAGAGTATGTAGTTGGGGACTTGCTTACTGTCTTAGTCACTGTTCTGTTGCTATGAAGACATATCAAGACCTAAACAACTTTCACAAAAGAAACATTCACTTGGGGGTTTCCTTAGAGTTTTAGAGGGTCAGCCCATTACCATCACAGCAGGAAGCATTGATGGCATCATGTACTAGAGAAGTAGCTGAGAGCTACATCCTGATCCTCAGGCGGCAGGAAGAAATGGGCCTAGCATGGGTTTTTGAAACCTCAGAGCCCATCCCCAGTGACACACTTCCTCCAGTAAGGCCACAACCTCTTAATTGTTCTCAAGGAGTGTACTCCCTGGTGACTAAGCATTCAGATATATGAGCCTATGGGGCCATTCATGCTCAAACCACCACATTTACAGTTTCAGAAGGTCAGTCATGATGTAGTGGGGAGCACAGTGGCACACGATGCTGAAGCAGTAACCGAGCTCTGCACCCTGATCCACAGGCCAGCAGACAGCCTGGTTCTAGCGTGGACTTTTGAAACCTGAAAGCCCCCTCCCAGTGACACACTTCCTTTAGTGAGGCCACATCTACTAATCCTCCAATCCTTTCAGACAGTTCCACTACCTGTGACTAGGAATTCAAATATATGAGCCTATGGGGGACATTCTTATTCAAACCACCACATTCCACTGCCTGGACCCCAGAGGCTTGTAGCCATATCAGAATGCAAAAAAGAATTACATCCAACTTCAAAGTTCCTGTAGGCTAACACAGTCTCAACACTGTTTAAAAGTTAGAAGTCTCTTTGAAGACTCATGGGAATCTCTTAACTGTAAACCTCTGTGAAATCAAAATCAAAAAGCAGATTTCATACTTCCAACATAAAATGGCACAGAATGTACATTACTGTTTCAAATGGAGAAAAGGGAGCATAGTGAGGAAATACTGGACCAAAACCCAGCAGGGCAAACTAGAAACTCTGCATCTCCATGTCTGATGTCAAGTCACCTTCAGACATCCAACTCCTTTCAGCTCTGTTGACTACAACACATGGGCTCTCTCTTGGTCTCGTTCCATGCACAGTCTTGAGCCTTTCTTGTCAGGCATCCCAAGATTCTGGCATCTCTAACCTCTTAGGATCTCACAGTCCAGGCCTCATCTTCACAGCTTCACAAAAGGCCTCTCTAGGCTTCCATGGCCTCAAGGGCTTTCTTTAGCCACAGCTGGTGATCCTAAAACTCCTTGTATCCTTGACTGTAAAGCTGGAACCATGTGGCTGAAGCAGCCAAGTTTTGCTGCTCGGTGGGGCCTCAACAAGGACACACTTACTCCAGCAAGGCCATACCTCCTAATCCTTTTAATCCTTTCAAACAGTTTCACCCCTGGTGACTAAGCATTGAGGGTCAATTTTCTTCAAACTGCCACAGTGTTTCTGGCTCAGGGCCTGCCTTTGGTAAAATAGCTGTCGTGTTACCAGAACTGCGGCCCATGGAAGGCCAGGCAAGGCTGCATGGCTGCTTCCGCACTCGATTACGGGACTGTTAGCTAAAGGCTGCTTCCCTTAGGGCAGCTCACAGGAGTTTCCTCCAAACTAGATCATCTAACAGAAAGACAGAAACTTACCATGGAGGTCAGCCATTGGTTATGCCATGCTTACTTTGTCATCCCCACACTCTGATCTAGTACAGGAGAGGACTACACAGCCTTTTTGGTGCTAAAATCACTGTGGCCATCTTGACTCACTCCCACGGGCACCAGCTGATGTCCACCTGCCCAGAGACCGAGTTCAAAGATCTCTTATGCTGGACCACAGCACATGAGCAACTTAGATTCAGGATAGAACAATTGCCTGTTATGATAAAGGCCCTGTTTCAACCCCAGCACTGCTTGCATGAGTTAAATATCACATCACTTCATAGTTACAGGAAATTCCTGTGTTCAAGGGTAGCCTGGGCTAAAATAATGAGACACTGTCTCAAACAAAAACAAAACAAACAAAAACAAGAGGAAGGAAACATCCCATATACTGATACGACTTCTTTTTCTTTTTAGTTGGCCAGGTAAAATTTGATCCTCCCTTACGGAAGGAAACAGAGCCACATCATGAACTTGTAAGTACCTGTTCTTGGAATGTTAGCCTCTGAACATACATCTTAAATTTGCCTTTATGATACATTAGCACTGGCTAGCTAGTACTTAATATTTTCAAAAGTATTTGGAGAAAAAAAATGATAATTCTAATACTGAATAAATAAATCTGTGTTGCTGAAATTAAGTATTTTCAAAATTATTTGAAGCGATAAGTTTCACCATTCTCTGATGAAGTGTTTTAAATGCTGGCTTTTACCTAGTTTTTATTTCATATTTGGTTTTGAGGGTTTTTTTTTTTTTTTTTGTATCCGCTAGGAAAGTGCTGCGGTCTCTAAAGATGACAGCAGTGTCTGGTGTGTTTAGAGTATTAACACTGAGAGCAGGTATGGAGAATAGGTCATCTGCCTCTAAACACATGAAACTTGCCAGTGTGAAAAAGCTTGAGGCTTCGTGGTAGTTTTTACGCATTACCGTCCATATGCAGGGTTCTGGTCCAGTTTAGAGGCAGACTGCTCTGCAAATATTTGAGGTGTTCATGCTTTATAGAAGAATAAAAAGGAAATTAAAAGACAATTTAATAAAATTGCTTTGCCAAGGCTGCAGATTATTAGCATGGTGGGTTTTCCTTTCCCATTTAATAAATTAGAAGAAAATCAGGCTTAATAAATACTGAAGGCTGATAGAGTAGGAGCTTTCTTATGAAGTTTAATGCAGATTTTCACCACTTGACTGGCACAGAGGAAGACATCAGCTTTCCTCATATGATTTCATTGTAGTAGACTGAAGGAGAAAATAGGAAAAGCTTGAAATGATCATATTTTAACATTAAAGCCTGCCATCCCTGTAGATTAATCTTCTTAATCGTAGAACGTTAAGAATGGAAAGCAGTCCTAATGTGTGAGTGCTAATTGTGTTTTGTTAAAGCAGTCTGCATAGTGGGTCTGTCCTAACTTAGTAACTGTTATCAAGCAGCTGCTGTGATGTTGTTTGTGTGGAAGCCACTTGCTATCATTTGTTGTTGAGTTTGCCTTAATACAGTTGTTAGCAGGACCCACCTCCCTTGTGAAAGTTTCCTTGGTGAGTGTGTGGCTGTCAGTCTAAGTGTCAATAACCTGGGTTTCTTGGTCTCTGCTAAACAGCCCGACAGTGATGCTTTTTTCGACAGTTCAGAAGAAATATACTACACTGCAAGATCTAATCTGGTATTTCTCATCTTCTGATTATCTTTTTCAGCATTGTTTTAGTCTTAACTCTCTTAAGTTCAGACATTTTGTCCAGTTTTATTGTTTTATAGACTAAAGGTTGTCAGTTAGCAAGCTTCCATATATTGAAGAATGCAGTAACTTTTTCCCATAACATATCAAATCTACTCAAGTGTAAAACTGCAGTGGTAAACAATTTTTCCTTTTATGAAAAACATTAGTATTTAAATTCCTTACACAAATGTGAATGTTTTTTTAGAAATAACATTTCATTGGTATTAAAAATACCAATTTTAGTAATGTATATGTTTAGATGAATGATAAACCATTGATATATAAATATACAATCATATTTATAACTTGATATTACATATATAATAGCATTATATATGTTATATAATATATAAATATACTGTGTATGTATTATATATATTGCATGCATCATATAATTTGAAGATGTAATTTATCCCTAAGTTAACAGTGGAGTCAGATGAAATCTTGCATTTGTCAGCATTACACAATGTCTACTTTTCTCATTAAAAAGATCTGGATTATACAGCATCTCTGAAGTTATACTATATTTCCATTGCGTGGAAACGTTTACTTAGTAAATATTAGATAGCTAATGCTTTCTAAAACATTACTAGGTACCTCCTTCTATTCGTATGGCTGGCTAGAACCCAAGTTATCCCAACATTTATTCCCAGATTCTGCTTTTCTGCCTGTCCAGTGGGATTTTCTTTCTCTTCCTCTCCAACTTGATAGGATACCTCTTTGAGTTCTAGTTAGTCTAAATATTTATATAAACGCTGAAATCCATGTCTTATAATACCTATATCAAATAATTCAGACGTTCTTTTAGAGAGAGAAGTTCTATCTTGTTAGATAAAACAATACTTTCAGATATAAGTTCGTAGCTGTGCAAAAAAGATAAGTTCAGTTACCAAAATGTGGCCAGCTGTCAACTGCTGACCAGTGGAGCCAATACAGGGGGTACCATGGAGGTCAGGAAACTAAAAACTGTTTGGGGCCAATGTGACTTAAGGAGGAGTTAAGGCTGGTATCAGTATCAGGCAAGGTCCATTGTTGACTCTCAGGGAAGGAAACAGGTGTGCCTGTATTTCTTGGAAGTCATTGTAGGGTCACTGGCACAGACTACAGTTTTAAGAGGTAAACAGCTGTAATTAAGACACTTCTGCTTTTACTAGAAATGGGAGTTAGTTAAAAGAGATGGAATTGAGCCACCAAAGAACAAATGATGAAGCTGTGAAGTTACATGTGTTGCCTACAGTTGGCCTCTGAAGAAGTGGGGGTCAGTACAGCTAGGTGTGGTGGCTTGTGATTATAATCCCCACACTTGGGAGACTAAGACAGGAAGTTCAAGGCCAACCTGAACTGTGTAATGAGTAGGGTGGCCTGAACCTCAGAGTGAGAACTTGTAATAAAGAAAAGAATGCAAAAACTGGTTAAGTCACAGAAGCAGCATTAGAGGGAGGGAGGAGGTCATAGGGTAACCAAGTGAGTTAACAGATGTGGCTCCAAGCAGAAAGCATATGTCACAGGCTGCTAAATTGGGAAGGATGAGAATTCTCAGTTAACCTGAGGTAGAAATTTAAAAAAAAAAAAAAAAGTAATTTCTGGGTCATAATTTTCTTCAGAATTAGAAATGCAGACCAGAATGACAAGTGGTGAATGTTGCAGAGAAAATAGGCCACAGACTCAGAAATTGAAGCCAACCCCATTATTTACTAATTCCCTCCATGCAGAAAGAGTGACAGAGCAGAAATATCAGAGGTAGAATTAGAAACATTCTTGACCTTGTGGAACCAGTCCCCAAACCTGACAGTGTTGCCACATCCCTGGCTCCTTTCCCGAGGCCTGCTGAGGCGCTCACTCCATCCCTGTCTTGATGAGCAGGGAGGATGTGTGGAAGAGGAAGGCATTGAGGCCTTGGCACATGAGACTGTGCGGCCTCATTTTCCTTGCTTAGAAGTGCAGCATGCAAAAGGCAAAGAGACTGAGCGTTGCATGTCGTTCCCTTAGCTAAGCATGCAGTTGGCGGTGGTGGCCTCAGCCCCTGAGCTGTGCTGCCTCTACCCACAAACATCATCTGTTTGGTTGGTTGTGTTGTTTTGCTTGCTTTGAAGTAATGGGTTCTCCCTCCTATCAACATTATATCTCATAGTTTGTTTGTTTTTTTTTAAACTGTGGCAAAATATACATAGTACAAAATGTCGTATTTACTCTTTTTTTAAAGTGTAGACAAAGAAGACTCACTGCACACCAGTCACTACTCACATCTGTAGAACATTTCGTCTTCCCAAACTGGACATCCATGCCCTTTCAGTAGCTCCCATTCTCTCTCACTGGCCTTAGTGACCACCAGTCTGCTTTGTCTCTATGGGTGTGACTATTTTAGGGACCATGGAGAAGTGGAGTCCTAACTGCTTGTCCTCTCCCAACTGGCTCACATCACTCAATACAGTGTTCCAGCATCTTCAGGGTTCCCTCTCATTACATCATATGTCAGAATTTTCTTTTTCATACAGGAAAAAAAAATCTATTTGTGTAAATGCCACATTATACTTATTTATTCATCTGTTGATGGACACCTGTTGCTGTTACCTTGTGGTAACTGTGGATAGTACAGATCTACAAATGTCGGTTTGCATCCCTGCTGTTGTATACACAGAAGTAGAACTGCAGGCATGAATGGCAATTCTGTCTAAGTGTTTTAGAAGCTGCCATGTTTTCCACAACAGTTACTCCATGTACATATACACCTGTAGACAGGGTTCTGGTTTCCACCCACCATCACTTAATTTTCTCTTTTTTGTTTTTCTTTTTTTTTTTTTGTTTTGTTTTGTTTTGTTTTTTTCAGTTGTGGTGATAGTTGTCCTAGTGAGTGTGAAGCATCCATCCACTTCAGCTCCCATAAATGCTTGTTGCAGGGGCCACACACCTACAATCTCAGCAGTTGGGAGGTGGAGGCAGGAGGATCATCAGGGTACCAGGTCATCCCTAGCTACACAGAGCTTTTAGAGCCACCCTGGGCTATATGAGACTTTGACTCAAAAAATGAAAACCTTATTGCTACTTACCAAACACTTAATGAGCCCAAACTGCCTCTCATCTTAGTGGGCAGCTGACACCAGGACGAGGGCACAGAATTTGAAGAACCCAAAAAGAGATGCCTTTACTGAATTTTGAAAACTGCTGACATTACTAACACTCATTGAAGCAATGATTGAATAGTAAGAATTTTGTCCGTAGTCATAAAATGGATCTGTCTGATCTACAAAAATAAGTAGCTTTAGTTAAAAGATTAGATTCCAGGTCTGTGGAGCTGAACGCTGTCTGGCTTAGTAACTTTTGATAATGCATTTAAAGTTAATGTTAAAATGCTGGTTTGTGTTTTTTTAGATTTATCTGTTTATTGCTTTGTTCTGTTTCATCTTTTTATCTTGTTTTGAGATAAGATCTCTATATAGAGAGTTAGGTTAGCCTGGAACTCAAGATACACCTGCCTCAACCTCCCAGGTGTTAAGATTGCAGGTGCCATGCTGGCTAAAACCCCATGCTAGCAGAGGGCACAGAGTAGTAAGGCCTGTCTGCCCTAGCAGTAGTCTCTCTAAGCGTCAGCACGGAAGTCACGTTCTTAGATACTTCAGTCTTCATCACTCAGTGGGCTCAGTCATCACTCACCATGTTCCAGCGTAGCCTGCTTCTCTGACTTTCAAAGACACCTGTTTTGTATTATGTTGTTTTCACTCCCAGTTTATTTCTGCACATCATCTTCCATATTAAAATGGATTGCACTAACCATTCTTCCCTGCCATAATTTTCTCATTTTTCCGATGAGGAAAAATATTCTCTCCTGCTCTTTTCTTTTTTTTTTTTTTATTTTTTATTTTTTATTTTTTGGAGGAGAGAGAGAGTGAGTGAGTGAATGTCCATGTGTTCGTGTATGTTTGTATTCAATGGTCTCAGCTCTGTTGACTTCCTGCTGTTTTCCCATCTGGTATAGACTGCAGTCTTCCAAGGTGACATAACATAAATAAACTACAGTAAGACTTTCTTGAGTATGTGTGTCCCTCTTTTCTAGCACTTCATAATGAAGTCTTTGTCCTTTCCTAGTTCTTTCTTGCTGTTTTCTTAGAATTTCCACCCTAAATGTAGAAATAGCCTCCCTTGCCCCTCAGTGAAAGGAACCCCTGAAATTAGAATACTTTCACCCGTAAAGTTCTATAGTATATCCTAGGACAACTGTGTCAAACTATTGTTTGAGCCCCCAGGTTGAGTGTTTCTTAGGTTATTGCATGTTTTCAGTACATGTTAATACTGCTTTGACATCACGTTATCATTCAATAACTGTTTAATGCTAATTTTTTGATGTGTCCATGCTCAAGTGCATTCTGATTTAGCTTATCAAAGATAGCCAAATGATGCCATCATCTTGGTTATTTTGAGTGCCTTCTGATCATAATTTTGATAGCATTTTTCTAATATAGAATGGCTTCAAAATCCTTTTTAAAAAATCTATTATTACTGTGTAGTGCATGATGTCTGTGGGGGACACACCATGTTGAGGGTGGAAGGCAGAGGATAGCCTTTAGGCGTCATTTCTCTCCTGCTGCCATGTTGGTTCTGGGAATTGAACTCATATAGTCAGGCTTGGTGCCAAGAATCTTAACTCACTGAGCCATCTTGATGGCCCGCGTGGTTGCTACAGCATAACTTGATTTCAGGAGAGAATAATTACTGAAGAATAATCCCTTTCCATTTTAGCTTTCTTGTTGGGTTAGCCATCGGACTTGCATGTACCTACAACTTCCGTACTCCATTGGTCTGGATGTATATACTTGAGTCTATACTTGAATTTCTATTTAAATATCCCTTTAGTTATTTTGAGTAATTCTCTTTCTCTTCATCACTATACTCCTGCCCTTGATAAAGTTTCATTTTCTGGTCATTACTGCCAACCAATTTTGATTGTCATCTCTCAGCTAAGTGGCTATTGCTACACATCAACAGAAGCCATGCCCTCTCTGTATATATACATGCTTTTGAAGCTGTTGTTTAAGTGAAACGTTTATGAGTTCTATTGACTATAGCTGTCGCTGCTCTGGTTAGAGGGCTTGGTCATGTATACCTGAAGACAAGTTTGAACGTCGAAGTATCCACAGAGATGAGTACATTGTTGGCTGAATTCTAGTGCATAAAGTATAAAGTCCTGACCACTAAAATTTAAAGTGAAATAGTCGTGGCAGGCTTGTGACTTGGTGACATGGAATTATTAAGATATGTCGTCATAAGTTAAAGAGAATAGGTATCCTTTTTCATTAGAATTTCCTATGATAACCACTGTGACAGTTGTCCAATCTTTTTCATTTATGCTGTCACTGATAAAAGCAGTTAGTATATGCACTGCTGAAGCCAAATATTAAAGAGGACAAAATTTGAGCCTTATACTTTGGTTTTCAGCAGATATTTTTTCAGACAGGTCTTGGAGTGTATTGTACAGTGTATTCTATGGAGCTGTATTCTGATCTTAGACTTAACAGATTCCAGACTTGGGATGTTTGTGCTTCTGTACACTGGTGAAGTGTCTGTCTGCTTCCAGGAAATGATACAGGTGGCATTTGAACATGCATTTATGATGCAGAGCACAGTCCGTGTGTCAGGTGCTGTGCTAGACCACAGCTGGAAGGATGGAAGACAGGTTTGGCCTTTTCTGCTGTGTTTAAGGAATTGGTGGCCCCACTACTGTTTTAAGAGCCTTTTAGACAGGTAAATTTCAGTGTAAGTTCTAGAGAACATGTGTGTGGTAAACTCTGGAAACAGTAGAGCCATCCCTGATTTCGAAGTTGTTCCAAAGTGACTTCTATAGAGCCCCAGTCATACATCTGATGTCACCTTGTGAGAAGGAAGCATGTCCTGCTGTGTTCTAACAGAAGACAATCCCTAAGATCAATCATCAGAGTACAGAGGAGAAAGGCAGTTTGGTTCTTTCTATGGTTGTTGGATAGTACATTTTTCTCAAGAAGGTATTTTGCGTATTCTCCTGAATGTTAGTTCTTAGCGCTCAGCAGCCTTCAGCATTCAGTCATATGTTTTCACAGTCAAGGAACTCTCAGTAGTCATTTACACTTTTCTGTTTTAACGATTAAAGTCTTCCTAACCGTCCTTCAGTGCAGTTCCCAGGCCTGTCCTAGCTCACATGCATACCTCACGACTGCAGTAGAGCCAGCTTTCTGTCTGAAACACTAATCCCCTGCATGAAACAGCAGTAGAAATATGGGAATGTGTATATGCACACAGCCGCTCCAGGTGCTGCAGACAACACCAAACCAAGATAGGCTGTCGCTTATTCTTTTGTTTTTATTTGTTTGTTTGGTTGGTTTTTGTTTGTTTGTTTGTTTGTTTTGTTTTGTTTTGCTTTGTTGTAGCTTAACAGTTCTTTATTTGAGCTTTTTTCTTTCTACAAGCTAATTTTTACAAATACTAATCACAATAACAATAACCACAAATGAAACTTGTAGATGTCATTTGGGAAAATTCCCAAAGAAATACTCAAGTATAAAAATCAGAACTACAGCCTCAGATCTTGTATTGTTGAAAGTGCCACCATGCCTTCTTTTTTAAGAGTATATAGCAATACAGATTTATTTGGCGCTTGGGGCTTTGCTTTTTAAAGTAATATATATTAATGTATAGTGATTGATATACTGTTGTGCTAAATATTTTGCTTTATGCCATCAGGATCTACACTTAGAATACGGACAAGGACATCAAAGTAATTACTTTTTAGGTGGAAACAAGTAAGTAAAGTTCTTTTGAAATTTAAATTCAAAGTAGTTGTCTTTAATATTGTTACATTTTGTATTTAATATTTAAGGTGGTAAATTGAATTGGGCTGGTAGATATTGCACAGTGTGCGCCTGAGTGTCCCGTGCTCTCCCCACTGGCCGTCTATCGTCACTGATTGTCATCTGGGAGGATCAGCGTGAACGCTTCATGTTAACCTAACTGCAGATCTTTTCTTGTTACAGTATAGTCCAGCTGTGCTGAGCTTGCGCTTTAGCTGATCTCCTCCTAAAATTGACCTGTTTACGCTCTGTAAGACTCGCTCTCCCAGCTGTGCTAGCCACTGAAAATGCTAGGTCGTCCATGCTGCTTAGAAATCCCAGGCTTCATTTTAGCTGTGCTGGGCTTTTAAAGAATACTAGTAGTGGACTGGGAGAAGAGCATGGGTGGGGAAGAGAGAGGATGAGATTGGGAGGGAGGAGGGAAAGAGAGGTACAGGGGGGATACAAAGTGAATAAACTGTAATTAATAAAAATAATTAAATAATTTTAAAAAAGAAAAAAGAATACTAGTAGTAAGAATAGACATGGATTTCTGAAAGCTATTTCATGCAAGAAATAAATTTAGCATCTAGTAATGCCTCCTCTGTATCAGGCACCATCCAGCCGGTAAAAGCATGTATAAGTTCGTCATAAGCCAGGGTTGAGAATCCAAGACTGCCCGTCCTAGCTTCTTAATTTCTGATTTCGGAGGTGAATTTTCACTCTAAAAGCCAATTTGTAAGGGAGTGTTTACATTACCGAAATATTCTGGGGATGTATATATGTCTAAATTAAATTAGAACGTAAATTTCACTCTTGATTACATTAGAGATCTAGACATCTGCTCTCATACTTTAAGTTAGGCTGCTGAGAGATGATTAATGACACTTCAGTACTGTAAACCTTGTCTTCTCTATAATCTAAACACTTCATGTTTTCACTTAAAAACAGTTTCTAGCACAAAGAAAAGGCTTTTAGTGAAAAGCTAAAGAAGTGTGCTAATTTTGTTTAATCTGAGTTTCAGTTAAATATAAAAGAAGTTGTCATTATTTATTAGTTTCTGTCTTTTTCTTTTATCTTTTTGTTGTTTGTTTATTCGTTTGTATATTTTGAGATAAGGCCTCACTATGTAGCCCTGGCTGGCCTCAAATTTGGAGAGCTCTTTCTGCCTCTGCCTCCCAAGTACCGGAATTAAAGTTGTATACCGTCCAGTAGATTTTATCTTTCTTGAAGTGGAAGATAAGTACAGAATCCCCGGCTATAAAATGTAGTTTTACCTGAGCAGTAATTAACTGATACTTAAATTGTCCTGATTTTAGTGGATAGCAAAGAATAGATTGTGTGTCACTGTGGGTTAGTGGATTTTAAAGATTGGTTGATTTTATTTTTTTTTTTTTTTCTAAAAATGATGCTATTGATTTTCAAGGACCTTCTTTTTGTTTTTCTATTTTTCTTTTTGGGTTTTTTGTTTGTTTGTTTGTTTGTTTTTATTTCTGGTTTTGTTTTGGATTTTGGTTTCTTGAGACAGGGTTTCTCTGTGTAGCCCTGATTGTACTGAACTCACTTTGTAGATGAGGCTGGTCTCTAACTCACAGAGATCCACCTGCCTCTGCCTCCCTAAGTGTTGAGATTATAGGTGTGTGCCACCTTGCCAAGCTTCAAGGACCTTGTTACAACCAAATTTTCATGTATTTAATAGGCCGAATAATTTGGTGACCATATACTACTTCCCTTTCATTTAAAATGGGTGTGCTTGCAAAATAATACAACCACGAATGTTTTTCCAGAGTTCCTGCTTCCAGCTGTCTCATTTTTTATTGCTAGACATTTTCTGAGTGTGTGTAGCTACATTGGATAGGTCAAATGTTAATAATTTTCCCGCCCTTCATTTCTTGATGAATTGGATTTGTGCTTAAGGAACTGTATTCTATATAACAAGTCATTGGCAAGGTAGGTTGGCCAAAAGTCTTAGCTCTGGCTGTGTTTCGTGTGTAGGTGTATACATACATGTCATGTGAACATGGATGGAGCACTTCTCTTACTGTATTGATATGTCTGCTTTATTCTTGTGACTAGACAGTGCTTTAAAACTCAGGATTCCCTGCTTTCTCTGAATGTGAAGGTAGAAAGATTCCATTGATGGGTGTCTGCCTGTCTCAGATCTTACAGGAACCTGCTCTGAGTCAGCCTGGCAACTGTGTAAGCCTGGTAGCTGCCGCATGACTCCCTTTGCTAATTCAGGTGTGCTGAGTGCTTGACGGTGGCGCCAGACTTTTCCCACCCCAGTGTCCCTGCCTTGTCACTTAAATCTGTGTTCAGACATTGTTCTAGTGTAGAATTTATCACCAGATTTTCCATCATTTCAATATAGTCATTCAGTTCTATTACCAAAAATTCTTTAACAGCCAAGGTCAAGTGGGTGTTAGAAGGTGGCTTTGTTGTCCTGTGGCACTGAGCCTTGGGAATAACTCCACATGTTGTCCAGTCCTCTCTGCTGTAGGAACTGTAATGGATCATTCAGCAAGCTGAGTTTTATCTCGTTTTCTCTATCATGAAGCCACAAGAGTCAGCCACATGTCCTTTAGGAGACTTTATTGACTATATAACTTATTAGCAAAATACCTTAATTCACAGTAGGAGACGTAGAAATAAATGAATAGAAGCAATGTTATTAGAGAACTTCCTGTAAGATTCTTCCTCAGAAGCAAAAGAGGTATAGTTTAGCCAACAGGGTGCCTGCCTGGCATGCACAGGACCCTCAGTTCGTCCCCAGCACCACACCCACACACACACAAAAAAAAAAAAAAAAAAAAAAAAAAAAATGGATGTGGTAGTCCACACCTGTTACCCAGCACTCAGTAAATGGAAGCAGAGGGTCAGAAGTTCAAGGCCATCTTCAGGTACAGAGCAAATCTGAGGCCAGCCTAAACTGCAGAAAACATGCGTTTCTCCCACACACAAGCATACACAAAGCAAAATGCCATGTGGAACCTATTGGCTATGGTAACAAAGTAAAACTGTATGTAAACTATCTCCCTTATTATTTTTAAATCTTAATGCCTATGCCACATGCTGTGCTTATTTGTGACAGGCTGTTCACTAGACAGCCCCGGATTGCAGGCATTTGCTGCCATTGCTGGCTTCTTCTGGGATGATCCAAAAGCCCACCATCCCCCAGAGAGATCACGCTTAGTTGGGAAAGCCACACTGCTCAGATCTAGGAGGGGACTTCCTGTTGCTAATGTAGTGTTTTAGTGTGGAAATTAAACAGGGTTTCCCAGAAATATTTAATTATTTTAAAATAATAATGTGTATTTACCTTTAATAAAGTACACGTTTTATACATTTTTTTTACGTCCTCACTGTAAGGGACCAGCCCAAATGCCTCCTCTTCAGCTCCTTTTGGACACATTACCCTTGGTTCTTCTTGACTGGAGCAAATAACCCCAGCCACACCTGTGAGTCCAGCAAACTACTGGGGCCATAACAGGCAATGTTCTTAGGAAAAGGTCTATTTTTCCTCTGACAAAGTAATAATTGTCAGGAAATAGCATTGTTTTCTCTTTTATTATATTTCTTTATATTGCTGGACGATGGCTAAATTTTCATGTCTGCTACTTTATTTGATCTGTATTATCACATAGCACATAGTTTCTAGAAAACAGCTGCAGAAGTAGAGTAGAAAAGGCTATGTGTTCTGCAAACAGTAGGATGCTGCAGGCACGCCTGTCGTTGACAGGTTTCTGCAGGCTCTGATTTGGAGTGTGTCTCGCAGATACCCCGTAAGAACACAGGAGTGATGTGCTTGGTGTCCTAAGCCCCAAAGGTGGCTTTCCTTCATCCACCTGTTCCTTCTTCGAGTACTTTCTACTGGTGTAATTCCCGTTGTACGTACAAGAAGCTGAAGCACATCTGTGCACATTGAAGTCACTTATCCAAGGCCACACGGCCTGCAGAAGTGATGGAAGGGGTCAGCCTCCAGCCAGCTTTGCCTGCCCTTGCCATAATACTGCTCCAGCCACAATCTCCTATTGCTTAGAGCCCCGGGGGCTTCACAGGACATTGACCTGTGGAACCTCAGGCTTTCTTTCTAGGGATAGTAGTACTTGGAATCAGTTTATTGTTTTTCTGGGTCATTGGCCATTCCAGATTAATAACTTGTCATTTTGAAACCTTATCAGGCTGACCCACTTAAAATACTTGATGACTAAGACCATTCTGCTTATTGTCCACAGGAGACAGCTAACCATACCTTTTGGGTTTCATGGTATGATAATTCTAAGAAAAGTATTTCAGAGGTACCTCACAAGCTTTAGGAAGAGTACGTTTCTCCTAGTAATTGTAGCAGCCTGGAGAAGGCTTTGCGTTTCAGCGCATGAACAGTGGGTAGGTGGTGTGCTTCCGAAGTTGCTGTGTTCAGGAATGCCCCAGTTCCCTCACATGATTGAAAAGAAAAGCCTCTTTAAAAACCCTGCTCCTAATGGTAAAACCCTCATAGCTGCTCTGACACAGCTTTAGTCTCCTAAAAGTATAAATGTGTTTGTGTGTGCACCCCTGGAGAGGAGGGCTCAGGTGAGTGAGCGTCCTCTGTGAAAGCAGATACTGCTACATTCACATGTTCCCGGCACATGCAGGCATGCTTCTGCAGAAAGCCGACATGCTGAGCTCCATTTTGCAGGATTGCCTGAGAGCATGAGTCTATCCAAGTATGCCACCCTCCTCATTTTAAGAAAGAGAAACCTAATTTCAAATGTCAGGTGGAATATTCCAGGGAGAAGTTGAGTCCTGAAAACCCCTGGTTCTGACCCTGCAGCTACTTTGTCAGTTCTGTTAGAGCATTTCGTGCTGAGTTGTCTCCTGTGTGAATCAGTAATTTTCAGCTGGTATCAGAATTAATTTTGTTTTGTTCATATAGGATACATATACAAAGACATTAGCAACCAAAACTAAAGTTACCTCACTAAAACGTAAGCTCTGTGGCATAGAAGTGGTCAGTGTGGCGAGTGCACCCGGGGAACTTGTTGGTAAAGTAATAGAGACAACACGCTTGATCCCATTTCATTCACGCCCCTCCTTTCTGTCTTTTAAGGAGTCTTCTAAAGTCTGTTGAAGAAGAACTACATCAGCGGTAATTACAACTTTTAATTAAGCTTGATGTACTTTATGTCAGAGATGAGATAAATCATTTCCCCCTTCTTTGTCATCTATGCTTTGTTAGTTTAGATGTCAGTCTGTCCTGTAAAGACAGACAGATAAAGTCCTGTCCTGCAGTGGGCTTCCTGCATTTCCATAGCTGCTGTGGGGAAGTCTGCCATTAATGATGCTGTCTGTTCTCTTTAGAGGTCACGTGGCACACTTAGAAGATGATGAAGGGGGTGAGGATGACTCTAAACAGTAAGTTCGGTGGCTCTTTTTGGCAAAAAAGAAAAGCAGCTTAATATGAGTGATAATTTTAATATAAGTAACACACTGTTGTAGGTTATACCACAGTCTCTGTGCTGTTGCTTTTCTGTTCTGCTTGTATTAATCAGCTTCAGATAGGGATAGCAAATATGCCTTATACCAGCTGGTTAGACAGAAGCTTAGTTCTCCCTGCTCTAGAGGCTAGGAGGTTCAGGATCCAGGTGCTGACCCGCTTGGCTTCTGATGATGGCCTCCCTATCTGTGCACCTGCCAACCCAACCTTGGCTTTTGAGACAGGCTCTCTTGTAGTCCAGGTGGGCCAAGGACTTGCTGTATACATGTGAATGATTGAGCTCCTTGTCTTCCTGCCTCCATGTGTATTCATGTGGCTAATTACCAAGACCGTTTGAATTATAATTTAGAAAGTTTATTATTTATTTCTCTCATCCCTGTGATCTAATTAATACCTGACAGAAGCAACTTAAGGAAAGAGGTCTTCTGTGGCTCACAGTTTCAGAGAGCATAGTCGGTCATGGTGGGGGAAGGCCTGGTGGCTCAAGCAGCTTGGTCTGTGGCAGTGGGAGCTTGCAGCTTTGGGTGCTCACATGGTGCTAACCAGGAAGCAGAGATGGAACTGGTAAGAAGATCTGGCTATACTTCAAGGCTGTTTTTTAGCAGCCTGCATTACCCAGGCACCATGGCCCAGCATCTATAACACCCCCAGACCTGGGAACCAGGTAGGGATCCAAAGCTCAATAAAAGCCGCTGGCAAAGGTACGCATTAGAACCTTGTCAGTAAGTGTTGGTGGCTGCTCTAATTATTGCTGTTATTACAAAGCTTGACTAAATTTCAGCTGATGTGTTTCAAATAAAGAACCACCTTGGGTATAACTATTTTGAATGGGAGATCACGGTTACAGATGTCCACTGGAAGGGATAAGACTGTTCTGGTGTTGGCTTTGGTTTGGTAAAGAAAGAAGATGCAGTTTAACAGGAGACAACAGTGCCAGTGTCGCACCACCAGACTGACAGGCACGAAGAGTCGCTGTGACCCTGGGTCACACCTGTGTGTCTCTGTGGACTTAAAAGTTGTGTTTGGTCATCTTGTAAAGCTAATTACAGTGGATCTTAGCTTCATTGATGTTCCGCCCACTTCATAAATACATACATGTGTCCTATCTGTTAGTAGCAAAAATGAAGCTGTAGTATCTTGTGGTTAGTGTTAATTATCACCCTGACCAATCCAGAATTCTGTGTCAGACAGGCCTCTGGGTATGCCTGTGGTAGATGATCCTGATTGCGTTAATTGGGTTGAGAAGCCCCTTCTAACTGTGGTGGGCCACTTCCAGGTAATGACCCTAGACTGTAAAATGGAGAAAGCGAGCTGAAAGCCACTGACTGAATTCTGATGTGCCCAGAGGTGTCAAATTCCCTCTGCCTTGGCTCCCCTGCTGTGATAGGCAGCACCTCGAACCCTCTGTCCCTTAAGTTGCTTTTGTCAGAACATTGTCACTTCATAGAAGAGGAAGCAAGACACATATGCTGTGTCCAATTGATGCCTAGATCCTCATTTACCTTTTGACTGAAACAAAAAAAAAAAAAAAGAGGACGGCCATCTTTCCACTTTGCACCACTGACAGCATCTGAAAGAAGACACACATCCACCACTTCGGACGGTTTCCTTCGATAGGATGTGGACACTTTACAAAATAGTTTGCAAAAACCTCCTGAACCCAGAAAACAGTATTTGTCTGGGACGGTTTTCCTTCTGTGTCTTTCAGAGTAACTGTTGACTTCTTCAATGTGGAGCTCTGACTGTGTGTTTTCTGTTTCAGTTCTACTATGAAAGCAAGAGCCCCACCGCCTCTGCCGCCAAAGGTAGACACACTACCCTCCCAAGCCATGCTGCCTCCACCCCTGCTTTCTTGCTCGCCAGGGCTTGCCCGCATGTCCCATCCACAGAGAAAAATTCGGAGTTGATGATTAGTACCTAAGAATACAATTTTACTCTTGCCTTTTTAAAAATGATGACTCAGTACTCATTTAAATAATACATCTTAAATATTTATATGTGGAAGTGATTTCTAGATTGGTGTTGTTTCCACTTACCTAGAAATTTTATATTTTCATATTTTCTATAACCTACCATTAATTGATTGCTGAGTATAGACGGGATAAACTACTGTCACAGGCATTTAATTTTCAGAAAATAATTATAAATTAAAAATACAAAAAGAGGATAGCAAAAAACAATTTAATAACAAAAGCTTTTTCCCTGGGCTGTGCTAGGAATTGGATCTGGGGCCCTCATGCATGTTAGGCAAGCCTGTGCTCTGAACTAACCCTTTGCCTAATAAAATCCCAACTTACAGGCTTTTGTTTAATTGCATACATGTTTACAACATATCTACAGATTTTTCAAGAATAAAATGAATGCATACTGATAGCAGTATGGTACATTTTTCTGATGGGTTTATGTTCATAACAAGTTTCAGTTACACAGTGAGTTGTGCTGCAGTCTGAGTCAGCCTTGGCAGCATTTTTTTTTTTTTTTTTTTTTGCATGGTGTTACTGAGAAAATCCAGTTCTTGTGCAAACGGTGCTGCACTGCTTCTAGAGGCTGCTTGCTTTGGTGGGCATCTGTAAGAGTACACTTGGAAGAAGTTGCAAGTTCTGCAAACCTTTAGCTGGGGGAGGTTTCTCCACTGCCTCACAAGTTTCCCAGCATCCTGTCTCACTGCCTGTGTTCTCCAATATAGGAGCATTTTAGTTGCTGTCTTCTGTTGTCCCTGATCTAAAAGATTACACTGTAACATAAGCACGCCAACTTGTCCAAGGGACAGTTTAGGTTAACTGACAAGCAGTGCCCAGCTTCAGCACTAGAGAGATGCAGTTAAGCTGGAGCACAGTCAGAAAGACAAGACTGCTTTTAATTGGGAAGGCTTCTGAGACACTAACAGAAGGGAATAGCAACCAATTCATATCCCCCTTCCATAGCTGCAAAACGCAACACATTTTAGTGTACACTTTTAGGATAACTTTTAAGTAATAAGATATCCTGAATCTTAAATTCCCTTGACACTCCTCTAGTGAGCACACTTTGAAAGCCTCTGATATATAATAATATTTACTTGAGGAAAGTAATTTTCTGTGTAATCACTGGTTCCCTTTTTTGTGTTATTTCAGCCTAAATCCATCTTCATACCACAGGATACACATTCTGCTGAGGACAGTAATCAAGGAACAATCAAGAGATGTCCCTCAGTGGGGAGCCCAGCAAAGCCGTCTCACGTCCCACCTAGACCACCTCCCCCCAGGCTGCCCCCTCACCAGAAGCCTGCTGCTTTAGGTGAGGGTGGAGGACAAGGTCCAGTCTTTCGCAGGTGTTTGTTCTATACATCCAAGAGAAGATCGAAGCTCCTTTGTGGGAGGAAATGTCAAGAGCAGCGGCTAGTAGATGTGTTTCCTGCCTCCTGGTTGTTCCTGGTTTTTGTTACGTCCATGTGTGTGAATATCTGGCTACAGATATGTATGTGCTTCACATTCATGCTTAGTGCCAGTAGAGGCCAGAAGAGGGTATCAGATCCTTGAACTGGAATCAGACAGTTGTGAGCAGCCTTACAGCTTTTGAGACCTGAACCTGGGTCCTTGGCAAGAGCAGCAGGCGCTCTTAAGCACTGAGCCATCGCTCCAGCCCTTAGCCATTAGCCTCCCTGTGTTTGGATGGCTCTGTGTCTATTTCATCAGTAGCTACAGTATCTAAGTTGAAGTCAAGCTCTGAACAAACAAGGAAACCTGTTCAGTTGTAGGCTTCTTTTGTTTTAGAAAAGGTGAAGGTGTTTTTCCTTGACTCCTTAATTTTAGTTAATCACTTTCAGAAAAATGATTGATATGTATAGATATTGTCTATAAATTAGCACTAGGGGGTACTGTTTCATAACTGGGAAGTTTCCTCTGTTATCCAGAGGAATTTTTTTTAAAAAGCTGTTACCATTTTATGATAACTATCTGGAATATGAATGGTCTGTTCCTCAAAAGTAATTATAAATTTACTGTTTTTCTCATTTTAATGAAATAACTGTTTACTTGTATACAAGCTAAACTTAAATTTGTCTGATATGCCAGAAATAGCTTTAACCAGAAGAAAATACACAGCCCTTCAGGGATGACTTTTCTGAGTGGAGATCTCAAATTCAGAACACACCTCTCTCCTGTTTAATTGTCTTCATGAAATCTTTCCTGGAAAATAGTCCTTTCACAATATCTTTCTCTTATTGAAGGAAATGGAGTTGGCTCCTTCCAGCTAAATGGTGAACGAGACGGATCATTATATCAGCAGCAGAATGAGCAAAGAGGCACAAACCTTTCCAGAAAAGAGAAGAAGGACATACCAGTAAGTGTTGGTGTTTATACACCCACACTTGGTTTGTTTTCCCTGTGTATGTAGCAGGGGTCACACTTACAAGGACTGAAACCACAACAATTGCATATTCCATAATTACCATATTGATATTTTAGTCTGTTGATTGTAGTGATAGTATTTTATTTAAATTGTAAAGCTACCTCTGCTATAGTAAACTAACATAACCTTGTTTAAACTTAGGTCCATTCTTATTTAGTACATTATAAATCATGATCTTTATGTAAGTCTAACCTTTACACTGTGGTTCATCCCTGAGAGAGCTGGTTATCCTCTCCAATGAGAACTGACTCTAATAAACTCTCTTTGGGGTAGAGTGCCTGGCATGTGAGAGGCCCTGAGTTTGACCTGCATCACCGCAGAAAGCAAATGGTGCCCAGAAAGCTAGTTAATGTAGAAGTCTATAGAGTTACCTAGAGAAAGGGTGGACACCGAACTGCTTTCGGGCAGTAGTAAGTAACTCCGGAAAGAATATGGGAAAATTAAAAGTAGCTATTGTTTTATTTTATGGTGGTATTGTACTTGTGTATTTTATTCAAATAAATGAGTTTGAAATACAGTATTTTCTTGCCAAATAGCAACAAACAATTCTAACAATGTGTTCCTTTCCTAGAAGCCAATCAGTAACGGTCTTCCCCCAACACCTAAAGTGCATGTAAGTACTCAGTGTCAAATAGCTGACTTTAAACTACGTGAGCTGAGAATTCTTCCAGAGTATATCTTTGATTGTGTCTGCCTGCTCCCTACCCTGCCCCCAGCACTGACATGACAGCTGCCATCACAGTCACACTTAGCCTTTATTGTACTTAAAAAGAAAATTCTACCTGTGTGTGTGCATGTGTATGTCTGTACCTGTGCATGTACACGTGGGTTTGTGTGGGTGGTTGTGTTTCTTTGTATATGTGCCTGTGTGTGTATATGTGCATGCATGTGTGTGTGTGTGTGTGTGTGTGTGTGTGTGTGTTGTGTTTCTCTGTGTGTGTATAGTATGTGTATACATGTGCCTATTTGTGTTTCTCTGTGTATGTATGTATGTATGTGTTTATGTGTGCTGTGTATTTATGTGTGTATGTGCGCATGCATATGTGTGTACTTTCACATCACAGCACATACGTGGAACTCACAGGACAACTTCCCTAGAGTGAGTCTTCTCCTTCCCCCTTCTGGGATCTGGGGGTAAAACTCAGGTCAGGCTTAGAGGCGAGTACCTTTGCTTGCTGAGCCATGCCTGTCCTCAGGGTGCTCCTTGAGGTGTATATTTTGAGTCTGAAGTGTGCAGATCTATATGTGTGTAGATTTAAAATCAACCCTGCATCTTTCAGTTTACAATATAAAATTCAATGATGACTTTGGTTTTTTGAGATGGAGTCCCTCAGTATAGTCCTGACTGTCCTGAAAGTCATGCTGTAGACCAGACTGTCCTCAAATCGCAGAGATTCACCTGCCTCTGCCTCCAAGTGTGAGAATTAAAGGCGTGTACCATGAAGCCTGGCCTCAGTGATGACGTTTATCATTAAATCAAATAGGAACATTTTCTTTGTGGAGATTGTAATTATTTTCTACCTAAGAACATTGTGTTATTTTGATAGAGGTTCTGATTCTTACTGACAAATTATTTATTACACAGAATTGGTTATTAATACTTATTTGTTTATTGTGAAATAATAAAGGAATTAAAATACGAAATTTTTTTTATCCAGAAAAATTGTTGTTATAGCAGGAAACTTTGTGTAATACTATCAAAAAGTTAATTGTGTATGTCCAGAAAGAAAGCTAGATGAATGACTGACTTGACCCATTTATTTCTGTAACTCTGAAGGTGATCTTAATTTTTCTGTGCCCTCTGTGGTCTCCCATTGTTTGTCACTTTTGTTTGACGAGTCCTTACTTTTCCAGATGGGAGCATGTTTCTCAAAGGTTTTTAATGGATGTCCTTTGAAAATCCACTGTGCCACATCCTGGATAAACCCAGACACAAGAGGTAGTACCACAGTTTCTTCCATTTCATTTGACTCATTTTCTGGGTGTCTTTCTCTAAGAGTTTTGATGTTGTCTGTCAGTTTAAGGTAGACACACTGGTCTATACTGTTACTGTAGTTTAAGGTAGCAGTTAGCCTGTTGCCTGATAGTTACAGTATCGGGCCTCCCTTATTTCATCCAGAAATGTTCCTTCTGCTACTGTACAGTGTGCCTATTTTCACAGAGTCACAACTGAAATCACTTGGCTACCAGACATTCAGAGTCTAGAGGAACTCTAAATTGTGAAGGGGTCATAATCAGAGTGATTCGGAGCTAAGTAAGGACTTGGTGCTCTTTCTGCACACCTGTATCCCAACAGCTCTCTCTTTAGCTCTGTAACATACCCACCGTCGTCTGTGAACATTCTTACACGAATGTGCATAAGAAGACACATATATATGTATTCTTCTAAAACTCCATCCATACCTTCATTCGGCATTCAGCTTCATTGCTCCACAGGCAGCTGATGGGAGAGACCTTGATTTAAACCCACTGCTGTGTGGCCATACGTCTCGTGTCAGCAGCGATCCTAAAGGCTGCACAGTTTAGGGGTTCTCATATGTTCTAAGTTATTCTTAGCATACCTCAGCTCAGCCTAGAGAAGGTCACGATGTATTTCTCAAAAACAATTGGGTAGGATCTGGCTACCTTCTCTTTCCGTCTAGAAGATACTGAGTGGCCCGGCAGATACCTAGGTTTAACAGGCAGTGATCAGGACCTGGGTTGGGTTGGTGAGTATGGTTTTGTTTTAGGCCAAGTCTTTAACCCAGGCTGATCTCAGACCTGCTGTCTAGTCAGAGATAACCATGAACTTCTGGTCCACTTGTCTCTACCTCCCAAGTGCTGTTATTACATGCCTCTGCCACCATGTCGTTCGTGTGGCGCTGAGTCAAGCCCACCTAACCAAGCACTCTGACAACTGAGCTGCAGCCTCAGCACCTACTTCATTTTGTTTCCTTTGCCTTCCCCGTTCCAGAATCCAGTGTTTTTATAGTAGTGCTTATGGTAATAGCTAATAATGATGATGATGATGACGATGATGGTGGTGGTCTGTTGTCTTAGTCACCGTCCTATTGCTGTGAAGAGACACCATGTCTATAACAACTCTTATAAAAGAAAGCACTTAATTGGGGGCTTACTTACAGCTTCAGAGGCTTAGACCACTGTCACCACAGTGGGAAGCAGGCACCACATGTGGCACTGGAGCGGTAGCTGTGAACTACGTCCTGATCCGTAGGCCAAGAGACAGAGCTGGGCCCAGCGGGTCTTTTGAAACCTCATAGTCCACCTTCCCAGTGACTCACTTTCTTCAACAAGGCTACAATCCTTTCAAATACTTCACTCCATGGTGACTAAGCATTCAAATATATGAGCCTATGGGGCCACCACATAGGCTCAGCTTAGCCACTGAGCTGGGGTGGTGGCTCAGTGGCTAAGAGCACTTGCTCTACACTTGTGAACACTGGGGTCCAGATCTGTACACCCACATTAACAAGCCAGATATCTTGCAAATGCCCTGACTCCAGCCTACACACACACACACACACACACACACACACCACGTCTGTAAAAGTAGTTTTTAATCTGAATTAGTTCTTGGTTTTCATGCTATGTCATTTGCACATGATCCACTCTTAGAGGACTTTAGAAAAAGTAGCTGCAGACTCTCAGTAACAGTCTCTAGTGAGTGATGAGTCTAGCAGGCCACTCCTCCACCCTCCCTCATGCAGTGTTTTCCTCATTGTTCTGAGACCATCATTTATATATAATGTAGTTTGTATGTGCCTAATTTCTTCTTTGTTTTAAAACTCTAAAAGTCACAGGCTTTTTCAGTGGTAACACATTATTGAATTTAGATGATACAAACATTTTCAAGCATCTTGTTTATTGAATCAGTTAATGAAGTGTCTCTGTTATTTCAGATCAGTACTTGATATTTGGTGCTGAAGAGGGCATTTACACCCTTAATCTCAATGAACTTCATGAAACATCAATGGAACAGGTAGGCTATCTTCTGTATTTTTTTTCTTGTAATAGATGCAGACATTGGAAATAAGTTTCAGTTATGACTTGGCACTTCTTTTATTCATAAAACATTCACGGAGCCTCCACTTGTCAGATACTGAAGACAGCCATAGGCTTGGTTCCTACCTTTGCGAAGCTTACACTATTATTGAAAGAGACTGCAGCACTCACACTTAGATAGCACTCTAGGAATGAGCACAGGATGTTGGTCAATGGTCAAGTGTCACCAGTGCTTCCTGTGAGAGGTGTAAAAGATGAGTTTGGGTGGCCCTTGAGTGATAAACAGACAAAAAGGAGGGCACAGGCCTCATTGTGGAGCTGTGAAATAGTATGACGTGTGGGCAGGAGTGATTGAACCGTTCAGAGTCTTGAAAGTAGCAATAGAGTGCCAAAGCCCATAGCTCTGTGTACTCAGCTATGGTCAGACCTCTGTTTTAGAAATGCCTGTTTATGACAGTGGGAGACGATGAGACTGGTCAGAGGATGCAGACATGCTAGCCTGGGCAGAGGGCTGGGGTGGTGGCTCGGTGGCTAAGAGCACTTGCTCTACACTTGTGAACACTGGGGTCCAGATCTGTACACCCACATTAACAAGCCAGATATCTTGCAGATGCCCTGACTCCAGCCTACACACACACACACACACACACACACACACGCTGTGGTGCATAAAAACATAACGTATTAATTAGTGAAACTTTTAAAGGTACAAGGCTCAGAGTAAGAGCACTTGGCTACTGCCACAGAGGGCTCAGGGTTGATTCCCAGCATATGTGGAGTTTCACAACCATCTGTAGTTCTGGTTTCAGGGAATGCAATGCCTTCTTCTGACCTCCCCAGGCACAAAGCACGCAAGTGGCATACAGACATGTATGCAGACAGATACACATAAAAGTTTTTAAATAATTTAAATAAAGAAAAGGATTCCTGTCATGTCCTTTAACATCTGAGTTCAGTCCCTGAAACTTACCTACATAAAGGTGAAAGGAGAGAACCAATTCCACAAAATTATCCTCTCACTTCCATGAAAGGCACACCCACATACATGCATCTCTCTCTCATGCGTGCGCACACACACACACACACACACACACACACTGTATAGCAAATGTGTTTAAGAATTACAAATACAGAGGAAGAGGTGGGGCTACACTAATATAGATGGAAACATTTTGATTTCACATGACTTGAGGACCTTTTGTCAGTACAGTATGCAAAAATGCTAATAGTGAAGTTGATATTAATGAAGATCTGTATAAAGTTAATGTAAGTCAGGGCCCTTTGCTGGTAGAGCTCTTGCCTAGCATATACAAGGCCCAGGGTTCAAACCTCAGTACTGCCCCCCACAAAAAAAGATTCTGTACTGTGGTTCCCTTGCTTCAACAGTCTCTGAGAGGGGCGTGCTACTTGTTGTACCTCTTGTTGCACTCTTTTTTTTTTTTTTTTTTTTTTGAGGTGCTATAACCAAACTCCTAAGCCTTTGCATGCCCTACTCAAGGGCTCGACCACTGAGCTATCTCCAGACCCCCTCAACCTTTTTAATTTTTAAAAATTTTATGTGTATGGGTGTCTCGCCTGCATGCCTGTGCACCATGTATATGCCTGGTGCACACAGAGGTCAGAAAAGGGTGTTGGATCCCCGGGAACTGGAGCAACAGATGATCATGAGCTGCCACATGAGAGCTGGGGATCAAGCCCAGGTCCTCCTCAGGAGCAGCCAGTGCTCTAACTACTGAGCCATCTCTCCAGCCCACACGCTCCATCTTCCAGATAAGAATGCAAAGATTAAAATGTTACCTGAAGTCACGTAGTCCTCAAGAACGTGCAGATTGAGGTAAACTATTGAACCTGCCCTTCTTGACTGTTACATTTTTTCATTAAGCTGATTATTTTACCCTGAACCTACCTCACTAAAGGAAGCACTGATGATCTAGGAAACCTGTAGATTTTTTTTTAAGATGGTTAAAAAATCCAAAATGAAATCCGACACTTGAATAAAACTAGATGTAAATGCCAGTCCATTGCCCCATGTTTAAAATGTGAAAGACTTTTGTGCTTTGTCCTGGCACTTTCTGTGTGAATGTGTTCATAGTTGCAAAACATAGTCCTATGTTTGACACTAAGGAAGTCATTCTAAGTTTGTATTTGTGTAAAGATTACCCAGGTCAACACTGATTAAATTAAAATCACTCTCCTGCTGCAGAGGCAGGTCCACTACTGTGTGGGCTAGAATGAGTCATTGGCTTTCTCTGCCCCGAGATCTCAGGGTAGCCAGGAAATTCCCACTTCAGTTACAGCAAAAGTAGAAGATAAGTGTTGAATCTGAATTTAGGACATAGTTATCTATAGGTACAGAGTCTGTGTTTTTTACTGTTTTTTTTTAGTAGTGTATTTCATAAATGCACATCTCAAGTAAGTGAAATGCAAGCCTCTCACTTTATTTTGTTTATTTAAATTTTATTAATAAGGGTCTTACTTTCTTCCTTTTATTATTACATTTTGTTATGACTTGGCATTTAAATTCAGTAATGTCCTTAGAGCCTTGATGAGTTTCATCATCTCTCCATTTTTCCTATTCCCTACCTTCATCCCAGTCCAGTTTGGCAAGACCTGTAGGAATTGCCAGAGCAAGCCCAGCAAACAAGTTTGCTAAGTCAGAATACCTAATTATATACATGAGTGACTATCACAGTTGCCAGCAGGTCTGCTTAGGTACAGTGTTCATTCCGCATTCACAGCTGCTTTGGTGGGTGTGAGTGACGTCTGGGAACTGGCATTTCTAACCCGGGCCCAGGTCACTGGAGGCTGCTGCTCCAGGGGCCACTGTGCAGGCCATTGATGCCTGCTGATGAAATGTCTCCACGAGACCTGCTGTTTCCTGTCTTCAGAGCATATTGGTTTGCTTTGCTTTGCCCCATTGCTCACACATCATCAGGCTTTCTGAGCTGTTCCCCAGTTCTCACACAAGGCACGAACAAACAGATAGGTTCTTGTGCTTTCTCTCAGCTCCCGGTTGCCCCAGCCTTTGCAGTTTGCAAGGTCTCCTCATGGGAATCTCAGCCTTTCTCCTGTACAAACCTAGTTTTCGCAGCCTTTTGTTCTACATTATGTTCTTTCTTGGTCTACAATATACATGTGCATGTACTTAACAAGGATGTTTTAAGAAGAAAGCACAGGAGACTTAATCATTCATCCCCAGGACCAAAATAAAATAATGGCTGTTACTTAAAATGTTTTTATTCTCAGCCAGTCACGGTGGTGCACACCTGTAATCCCAGCACTTGGGGAGGCAGATCTCTGTGAGTTCAAGGCCAGCCTGGTCTCCAAATGAGTCCAGGACAGCCAAGGCTACACAGAGAAACCCTGTCTCAAATAAAACCAATAATAATAATAATGTTGTTATTCTCTTTGGGGTTACATGGTCCCACATTGCAGCACCAATGCCACGTGAACCATGCTGGGTTTAAACTCAGGTCATGTGGGCAGTTAGCTCTCTTTGATATATTGTGTGTGCATTTTAACTACTGAAGAACTAGCCTCTTGACACTTCTTTGCATAGGCGATAGGTTAACCTCTGTAAACTTTGTATGTTTTTGTCAGCTGTTCCCCCGCAGGTGTACGTGGCTGTACGTGATGAACAATTGCTTACTGTCGATATCTGGTAAGTCTCACTTTTGTGCATCTTAGCGAGCCTTGTTGCCTGTTATTTGCTCTCACGTGGTGCTTATTTCTTCACAGGCAAAGCTTCTCAGCTCTATTCCCATAATTTACCAGGGCTTTTTGATTATGCAAGACAGATGCAGAAGTTACCTGTAGCGATTCCCGCACACAAGCTCCCCGATAGAATACTGCCCAGGTAACTGGTTGTGTTTCTGTTTTAGCAATCACACACTCACACAAGCACTTACTCAGGAGAAGGGGAAGTTTGGGCTAATTGAAATTTTTCACTAAAAAGTCATATGTAATGTATTCTAACAAGGGCTTATTTGTCATATTTTTGTTCTAAAGTTATAATTTGTGCTTTCTGATTATACAAACATTTTCTCCCTGAATTTTTGTTTCTGTCTTTTCTGCAAAGATAAAACTAATTTTTCACATAATTATACATTACATACATTGCCTTGGTTCCTAATATGCTTGTGTTAACTTACATAAAGTGAATTTTCCAAAGTACAGTTTCTAAGCCTGGAAAGTCAAAATGATTTATTGAATTAATGTTTTTTGCATTGGGAGATAATTAGAGGTGAGGAGTTTTGCTTTTGTACTTTTGGCATTTTTAATCATGCTAAACTCTCACTTGTATTATAATATCCGCCCTCGTTTGCTGACCAAACGGTAGTTTCAAGTCAAACGTAGTTTCAAGTCAAACTATGACAGCTAGTCTTCTTTCCCAAGATTGGTTGGTTGTAAAGCCAATAGCGAAAACCCTTAGCGTTCAGCTACCTTGAGGATCTGCTGTTAACTGCTAAGTTTATAGCCTAGCTATGATTTGCCCCTCTATAGACAAATGTCTTTTGACATTATTTTTTCATGTTTTATTTGTGTACACATATGTGCACGTGCGTGTATAGCTACCCAGAGAGGTATTGTTTCCCCTAGAGCCAGAGTTACAAGTAGTTTGTGAACAGCCCAACATGGGTAGCAACTGAACTTGGGGATCAAACTCGCATCATCAGGCTTAGTAGTAAATACCTTTCTTTACCCACTGAATCACTTTTCCAGCCCCCATATTCCTACTTTATCAGCTCCTGCTTTCCCCACTGATCTGTCACGGCATCTTTGCAATGTACAGTTTGCCTGCCTGCATCATGTATTCTTCTCCTTTCACATGTAGGAAATTTGCTGTATCAGCAAAAATTCCAGAAACCAAGGGGTGTCAGAAGTGCTGTGTGGGTAAGTAGACTGCAGAGCCATGTGACCTTCCTGCTCAGCTGTGTGTGAGGAAGCCCTGTGAGGCTCACAGTCCATAGGGGACACTTTACACACACACACACACACACACACACACACACACACACACACACCCTTAATTAAAGCACATTTCCTGGCCTTCCTATGTCTGTGTAGACTGGGCCACGTAGAGCACCCTCCACATAGCAGGTGCTTACATGTTATTTGTTTGGTTGTTATGAGAACTAGAGATAGCAGGGCGATCACTGTAACACAGGGATAAGCACGTCATGCTCTCTGGGGGCAGTTCTTACCCTCCGTCCTCTGCTCAGTGAGTGCTCATGGAGCTGTTTTGCTCACTGTTGCCTGGAGTTGTGAGCCATGTGTTCATGATAGTAAGGTTGTAGTTTCCCTGTGCACACACCTCTTGACTAAATTGCTCTCCCACCTTTATAACAACTCTTGTTCTGTGTACTTGTAACAATAAAAAAAAAGTCCAAATTGTTTGCTTCCCTTGACTCACGGGGGAAGTGAGTGCCGTGGACTGCACCACCAGGCATGTGAAGAGAGTTAAACACGGGCCAGGGAGAAGAGCATAGGCTGTGCCGCAGCCTTAGAGCTCACTCTAAGGCTGCAGAGGGCACTGTGAACACAGAGACACAGAGAAGACAGACACGATGCGGGGAAAAGAATCCCAACACTTGGCAGCTAAATGCCGAACACGCATCCCAGCTGGAGGCTACAGTTGGGTTCGTGAGGACTAATGTGGATGTGAGTTCTATTCACTGTCCATCTGTACATGAACAAGAGCAAACTGAGCTAGACAGAAGCGGTGCGGAGACACAGGAAGCTCGGCAGAAATCAGCACAGCCTGGGCAGAGCAGGCGGCAGGTTACCGTCGGCACGGTGGCTTGCATGGCAGCCAGCCCCTCCACTTGGCTGTGTGTGAGAGAAAAGACATCAGGTTTTTCTTGTCCCTCACTTCCCATCCGGGCTTTTCTATTGGCTTTGGCTGGGTGGTGTTGGCCCTCACTGCATTGGCCTTTTAACTATTTCGAACCTGTGTGAAGCTGATGGACTTTGCTATTGTCCTTCATATGGTTTTCAAAAAAACCTACCTATTACTATGTATTTACATTATATCTTAAATGTAAGAAAAGCTCAAGCACTGAAGTGCTTCGATTTTATTATTTACCAGCTTATATTGTAAAATTTGACTAGTGCAAGTAATGTTTTCCAGTGATCATAGAAGGGGTACAATAAAAAAAAAAGGAGATAAGTAAATATTTTACTTTTAAAACAAAATCGCCCTGTGAACCACCTGAATTTGCATATCATATTATTTGACCATGTCTTCCTAGAGTCTCTTTGGCCCTTTCTTCGGGGTGGTGCGGCCTCTGCTACCTTCACTGCCACTGTATACATGACACCTGATCATGGCCAGCCAGCTTACAAGTGCACAGGAACAAAACCCTTTCAGTGCTGGGGTCACCTCTCACTAGATCCTGAAATAGCACTTCTCATGCACTAGCCTATCCAATTAATAACAGGCTGGCAGCCTGCTTTTCTTTTTTTGTAATCTTTTTGTTTTGGTTTTTTTGGGGGTGCACATAACTATTATTGTAAGGATTTTATATACCGAGAAAACTGATGTTTACCTCTTTGCCTTTTCAGTGAGAAATCCTTACACTGGCCATAAATACCTATGTGGGGCGCTTCAGACTAGCATCATTTTATTGGAATGGGTAGAGCCAATGCAGAAATTCATGTCAATTAAGGTAAGCGTGCATGGCATCTGCAGGATGAACCCTTCATTGGCTTTTCTGTTCTTTAAGAGGAAACAACTTTTTCAGCTAACTCTCAAGTCCGATGAGAATGTTTGGAGTGTGAACACTACGTTGTTGTCTCTGTGAAAGTCCTGAGAAACCAGAGAGGCCATTGAGGGGATTGTAGGAAGGGGATGGAAGAGCTCCCAAGGCCTGCCCGTGTCCTTAGGGAAACTTTCTCTAGGATCGTTCATCTTCAAGATATTTTCAAGGACGATCTAGATGTGATTTAAAGTATGGAGAACAGCAGTTACACTGAGTAAATGCCAAGGGAAGTCTTCCAGTTGTTTTATTTGCTCTTCTGTGGTTGGATTTCATGAGCATTTGGTCCCTCTGGAATAACCAGTCAGGAGGACTGTGGTACAGCCCCGTGTCTTGACTACTGACTTCCGGTCCCTGAAGTCTCAGACAGCTAACAGCCAGCTATAGTTCTCAATGTTTCTCTGGCTTTGTTGGTGCTAAGGAAAATTTTAAAATCTTTTGAGGTAATAATTCTAAAAATAGTTTCACTGCACAAAAATACTGTAAATTGAAGCCTACAGAAAAGTAGCTTTATCAATTTGTATAGAATGCGGCCTACTGGTAGAAAAATTAGGTGTTTTTTTTTTTCTTGGTCTCTCCTTTATCTAGTTTGAAAAGGTATGCCTTTCACTAGGTGGACCAGGATATCTGTACAGTTGGGCTTTTCCAGTCTCCTCCTGCCTTTTTTTCTTATTCTGCCTCAGCTGCATCCTTCCTTCCATTCTTGACCTCTCTAAAGTAAAAACTCTTCCCTCATGCTAGCTACCCACGCACATAGAGAGGAATTCAGCTTCATCATGAACGACTTCCACGTGCCGTTTTCTGTCATATTAGACCATTTCTTCTCATCTTTACTAGAAAGAAGAAGTACAGGAGGGTCTGGGGTGTGGGTCGGGGAGTAAGAGTGCTTGCTGTCCAAGCCTGGGGCCCTAAGTGTGGGTCCCCAAGTAAGAGCAGGACACAGCCGTGTGCACCCGTGTCCGCAGCACTGGGAGAGTGGGGAGCTCAGTGTGCTGCTGAGTCGTAAGGCGTGCACACAGTCAGCGTTGGTGGAGGGTGTGTCTAACGAGTGGGGCTGTCCTGATAACTGCGCCCATCCTCCGTTACTCAGCTGTCGTGTCCTTTATTTCCGCCCTCCTGGTGCTTGTGGCAATCTTTTGTTTTGTCCCTTGTTATTAATGAAGTTAGCGGTTTTTTATCTTCAGATCTCTAAACTGGGTATGTGTTTGGGTTTGTTTGTTTTTTTTTTGTAGCAATATAAAAATAATTTAAAGTTCAATAAATTAAAGAGTGGCATTGTATGAAGGTTATCAAGTGTTGGTGAAATCACTTGAGATAGCAGGCCAGACTTCTCCTAGGGTGTTTCTGCTCACACTTAAAAGAGGCACATCTCATATCGATTGGTATTTTTCTGTCTTTCCTCCATGTCTGCTTATCTGGTAAGGAACTCAGCTCTCAAGGGAGAAGGCTGGTGAGATTCCTTCCGGGCACTAATATCCAAATATTGTGTAATTTTTATATAACATTAATACTTTGTACTTCAGATTTATCTGCATGCTCTGAGTTCCTGGAGCAAGAACCAGTCTTGAGAGCAGAAGCTCTTCTCCATCTGAGGAGGCTCAGCTCTCCCCCTCCTGCTGCTGTCGGGTGGTGTGGCCTTGGGGCCTCTGCTCAGCGTGTTTGTGTCTCTCTCCAGCACATAGAGTTCCCAATGCCCTGTCCACTCCGTATGTTTGAGATGTTGGTGGTACCTGAGCAGGAGTACCCTCTGGTCTGTGTTGGGGTCAGTAGAGGGCGAGACTTCAACCAAGTGGTCCGATTTGAGACTGTCAATCCAAACTCTACCTCGTCGTGGTTTACAGAATCAGGTTTGTGATCACTGTAATTATTAAAGCCAGTGAATATGGTTTTTTAAAGAGTTGTGTTTCCCAGCAAGAAGAAACTGTATAAAGAGCCAGTCTTAAATAACTATATTAATAAACTGGAAGAAGAGGTAAAATGCTGTAAAGTATATTTAGTATGTTCAGCACATTTAAATTAATTTGATTGGGAAGTATACAGATATAGAAGCGCATGCACTCTTTAAAAGTGCAAATAAATTTGGTTGTGAATCTGTTATATGTCCTGGTGGTTTGTATACTATTGTGACCAAAATACATAACAGGAACAACTTCAATATTTATTTTGGCTCACGGTTTCAAAGGTTTCAGCCACCATGGCAGGGAAGGCCTAGTGGAGCAGAGCAGTTGCTGGCATTGGGGGCATGTGATGAGCCCCTACTGAGATCATGTCAGACCAGGAACCAGAGCAAGACATGATATGAATCGAGCCATTACCTTCAAAATCCTGTCCCTATTGGTGAACTTCCATCAGCAAGTCCCCTCCTTTCCAGGGTCCCAGAGCTTCTCAGAGTAGCACCATCCACCATCTGGGAGCAAGAATGAAATATGGGGCAAGAAGGCTTAAGGGGCAAAGGTGCTTGCTGCCAACCCTAATAGCCAGAGTTCTGTCTTAGGGACCCACAGGGCAGAGCACTGACTCCTGCAAGGCATCGTCTGGCCTCCACGCCATACTGTAACGCACGTGCACACACACAAGTAAATTCGTTTTTAAAATGTAAAATAAAAAGTGTAAAACATGAGCCTATTGAAGACATTTCAAATCCAGACCATAACGGTGTATGTTTATTAAACACCTTTCTTAGGAAAACATGCCTTGCCATAAAACGAGGAGATGGCAGTATGGTCTTCTGCTTTTGGAGGAGTGTAATACGTAAAGTCACACATTTTAGGCAGCTGTTCATCTCGAAAGCCACAATATCTGTAAAGAAGCTTTGGTCACTCTGTGGGCTGCTGGTGTGGCCGGGTGTTAGATAGAGTGCATATTAGTGCACAGTCCACACGAAGCCTGTCTCAGGGTTGCAGAGGCAGCACGGTCACGAAGGGCACACACTGCGCCTACAGAGGACCTAAGTCTGCTTCCCAGCACTCATGCTGGCCAGCTCACAAGGTACAGCTCTAAAGGATCTGCTACCTTCCTCCTGGCCTCCACGGGACCCTGCATTCATGTCTACAAACTCCCACACACATGCATAATTAAAAGTAAAATCTTTAGCACACACAGTCAGGAGTTCAGTCCCAAGCACTTTCCTTCCCTACCCTCAAAATACAGAAATCACACATTTCTAGTAATTTTACTTGGAAAAAGCTGTATTAATACGACAAACTGAATCATAGTTCACAAAAAACAGATAACAGCTTAATACATGAGCAAATATTCTTAATATTTCGATAGTACTTTCCATTTCTTTTCGCACTTAGTTTTACACTGAGTTTTACAGAATTCAGTTGTTTGGTGCTAGTATTCATATAAAGATACAGTCTTTCTTAAATGCGGATGAAGGAGCCATTTACAGCTGCTGGAGGCCAGGTGTGGTGGTGCACACTGAGAACCCAGCACCTAGGAGGCCCAGTCAGAAAGGTGTGATTTCTGGGCTAGCGTGGGCTACTTCACAAAGACTTTGTCTCAAAAAAATTTTCTTTCAGTGTAGGCATTTTATATCATTTATATTTTTAAGTATGTAAATATAATTTTAAATGGTGTAGATTTAAATCTTTAACTATCATTTAACTCTAGTTTCCCCTGCATATAATCATCAATTAATTTTGCTGTTTTAACCACACTTTGTTACTTTAGTTAGTATGTCGATGCAGGTGATCATTAACGAGTGCAGTCTAGTGCTTCCCAAATGTGAGCTTACATGAGCGCATTCTTAGGCCCAAGTCCAGAGTGCTTCCTTTGGTAAGCCAACAAGTCAAGGCTGCTGATGCTGACAAGGGGACCACCATCTTTAAGAGCATGTGTGTGGGGCTGGGGAGATGGCCCAGTGCTTAAGAGCACAGGCTGCTTTTTCCAGGTACCCACGTGGCAGGTCACTGTAACTCCAATTGCAGGAGCTCTCATGCCCTCTTGTGGTCTCCTCCGGTACCAGGCAGGGAAGTGGTGCATAGACATGCCTACAGGGAAAGCACTCGACACATAAATAATACAGGAACTTTCTATAAATTCCTGTGCACACAGTCTCAGACTGATAGAAACGATGCCTCTACAGTGAGGAATACCTTCAGTACAGGTGTCTCCTAGAATTGGAACGCTTGGACTCAGGATCTTTAATGAAACTGTTAGGTTATTTAAAGTTAAGATACATATGTAAGTTAATGACTGTTTCTGAAGTATTTGTGAAGCTGTCTGGAAGTAATTCTTAGATAATTTATTTGCCAAGTTGCTGAACAGACACTTCCTTTATGGCAACTTCCCTAATTACCTTAGCAAATATTTGGTCCAAGTAGGCCTTTCATAGAAATTTGACTATAGTTTGAAACATTGTACTATAGCAGAATAATAGAGAAAAATGTTAGCTTTGTGGTAAATAAATGAGTTGAACTCTCACACTTAAAGAACACAAGTTTTCAATGTCTTTAGTTTTTAAACATCCTATCAATGGTGAAGCCCCTTTTACTTTTTTCTCTTTAAAAATATTGTAGAGCCAAGTGTGGTGGTACACACCTGTAATCCCAGCACTTCGGAGGTGAAGGCAGGAAGATCAGGAGTTCAAGACCAATCTCAGCTACATAGTGAGTTTGAGGCCAGCCTGGACAACATGAGACCCTCTCCCCAGACACACTTGCGCGTACACACATACACACACACACACACACACACAGACACACACGAACACCATGAAATGTGCTATGCAATAGAGAATGGACACTTCAAAGGGGACATGTGAAAGAAACAGTTTTCTAGCAAGGTATGTTAGGCAGGATTTTGTTGGGAGTCTAAGAAACTGTTAATAACAGGAAAGTAACCATGGACCCAATGGCTCCCAGCTGTAATCACAGCACTCAGGAGGCTGAAGCAGGAAACTTGTTGGAAGCCTAAGGTCAGCCCAAACACACACACACTCAGGTACACACGTGTGAATACATGCTCAAACTGAGGAACTTTTGTACTGGGGCTAAAAGATGACAAATGTACTCTAACACAGTCGAAAGCCAGGAGGTTAAGCTGCACACTGGACTAGGAGCAGGTTTCTTTTTGAGCTTCGCAGAGCCTCTTACATCACCCACTGCCTCCCCTGTAAGACAGCAGGGACACGCCTGCTTTCCAGTTTCATCTTATTTGATAGGAAAGGACTGCTGGATGAGAAATGTTTTGCTGTCAGTTTGTTTCAATAATGTCTTAGTTCTCTGAAGTGTTGTAATTTTAAATGCACCCTGATTGTTAAATGAAAGGAAATGAAAGGCCCCATTTCCTGAACAGACCTTGAAACAGCTCCAAGAAACTGAACATGGTTTATCTGAAGGATTTCCATAAACACAGAAAATACCTGTGAGTTCAGGAGATAAAGACACCATTGGGGAACCTTGAGAGTGTTAGCCAGGCACGAGGCTGTGTACAGCTAACTCCGGGCCTCGGAGAGGGCCCTGGGGGGCGCAGGGCTGCCATGCAAGCACGAGGACCTGAATCCGTATCCCAGCACCCATGTGTTGTGCATCTTTGACCTTTGTGCTGGGGGACAGAGTCAGGAGAGCCCGGGGGCTTGATGGCCAGCAAGTTCCAGTTGCAGTGAGAGAGCTGTCTCACAAGAGTGGGAGAATAGTAGAAGACTCCCGACGTTGGCCCACACAGAACACAGGCAAGCGGAACACCATACGCCATCTATACACCCCGCAGATGCAGTGTGATCTCCTAAAAAGGGCTTCAGAGTTTAGCTTTTATAGTTAAAAAGCAAGTTATTTACCTCTCCAATTCTTCTATTTCATACACATTGATCACATGAGCTAGAGACTTGCATCTAGTGATGGTCTGAGTTTAAGATCAGAAATCAGCCAGAACCATAACTTACAAGAGTAGACTCCTCGTTTCAAATGTAACATCAATAACACTCATTAGCCGTAAAACTGACAGGGGCCAGTTCTGCTGTGCCTGTGGTCCTGACAGCATCAGAACACAAGTGTCCCAGGGCAGCCACTGTGCGTGCTCTGCAAGAAATGTCCATCCATTCAGAACGCAGCAGTCCGCAATTCTTTTTTTGCTTAAGAAAAACGATATTGTAAGTATCGTAGTTTTCTGTAACTTCATCAGCTGTCTTTGTGTCACAGATGCCCCGCAGACAAACGTCTCTCATGTGACCCAGCTGGAGAGAGACACCATCCTCGTGTGCCTAGATTGTAAGTTTCTGTTTGCGGGTGTCTGCTGGAAAGGGTTCTCGCCTCTTACCTTTGAGTGACTTCTGTTTTTCTCTAGGTTGTATAAAAATAGTGAATCTCCAAGGAAGATTAAAATCCAGCAGGAAACTATCATCAGAACTCACATTTGATTTCCAGATAGAATCCATAGGTAAGTCATTATTTTGTTCTTCTTTGCATTATGAACTGTTTAAAATGATTTATATGATAGTTACTGACATTGTAAATATGTACTGTTAAGATTTTCTAATTTTCTAATCGCTGGGAGGCTTCCTTCTCATGCATTCTCTGTGTCTGTGTGGTGGTCACATACACTGTAAATGTAAATGTTTCTTTCCTTACAGATGTGGCATTTACATTTCCTCCAGAATCTTATGGATTTCCTATAAGTACTTTAAAATTTGGCATTGTGTTTTGGCCATTGTTGGAATATGATAGTTCTTCAGCCAGAAGCAGTGATACATCCCTTTAGCCCCAGAACTCAGGAGGCTGAGATAGGAATATTGTGAGTTCATGGTCAGCCTGGGCTACATAGCAAGTTCTAGTACAGCCTCAGAACCCTAGCAAGACTCTGTCTCTGAAAAACAAACAAAAGTTACTTCTTGACATTTTATCATTATTGTTGTGTTCTCTGGAAGGGATTTCTGGCAGTATTAGTATTTTAAAGTGCTGAGAAAATTAAAAAATGATCATGAAGTGGATGCTGAACAAAAGAATAATTTAATTTGCACTGGTTTTGAGTTTTACTAATAGTTTTTTCATGTACATACATTGGCAGAGAGTAAGGCCAAGAACAAACAATTGTTTGTCAACATAGGAATAAACAGAAAGGAAAATGGGGCAGAGAGCAGGACCTGGTGGGGCCACGTGTAACTGGAAGCATGGAGTGTTGTGGGTCAGTGGGGAAGATGCAGGCACTGTTAGTTTCCTGCGGGTGTAATCAGGTTTCTTCCTCACAGTTACCCTGTATCAAAGATGAAAATGCAAAACTGAACTTTGCCTTCTTTATGCCTGTGTCCCAGTGTTTCTGCATCTAATGACTTAGGAATAGTGAGCAGGTTTTCAGAAATATGCACAAGCATGGCTGGTGTGCCATAGTTTATAAGGAAAAGTAGAAATAGTTGTTCATGGTAATAAATGGGTAACAGTTGGAAACTTCAACTTAAAGTTTACCTTGTCAGTGTGGGACCAGTTCATATAAACACGTCTGAGAACGGCAAATGCAAAAGTGAGTACAGTGCTGTCCAAGAGAGGCAGGCAGGCCAGAGGAGCTCAGGCCTAGGTTGAGGGGGCCCAGCTGTGCTTGTCTTTGGTTAGTGCAAAGGCAAACAGTGGAATGCTTAGATTCGCTCATTGAAAGGAGTTTGCACATGGCTTCTCTGCTATTGTCTGTGCTCTTCTGTGTGCGCATACTGTTCTATTTTTAATTACTTTATGAAAACATTCTGATGCGTATTTTAGTAAGCTTTTCATACCAGTAAGATGAACGCACTGTGTATATTAAATGTGTTAAATTCAGAGGTAGAGATGCCGTATCAGTGTGCAGAGCTGAGATGCTGTACCCGTGGGACCTCTGCTGGCGGGGTAGGCAGGGTGCCGGTGCTCCCCCTGCATTTGTGCTGTTGACAGTAACTGAGCTGTTCTTCTGCTAGTTTGTCTGCAGGACAGTGTGCTGGCGTTCTGGAAACACGGGATGCAAGGTAGAAGCTTTAGGTCTAATGAGGTAAGTGCTCCTTTCTCAAGTGCTCAGTAAATAGTGGTATGAAGCCAGGCGTGGTGACTCAGGCCTCCTAGTGTGAGGAAGCTCAGGCATGAGGATCATTTGAGCTCGAGAGTTCAGGTCCAACCTAGGCAACACAGTTACACCTGTCTCCTTTTTAAAAAGAGAGAGAAGATATGGAATTCGTTCCAAGCAATTCTTCCAACACTGTAAAGGTGCTAAGTGACCATAGTGAGCCTGTTTCTCTTACCGTGCAGTCCAGTGGTGAGATGAGGAGCACGTGCTCTGAGACTCGGCGGTTCTTAGCCTTCTTGGCGCTGCGACTCTTTACTGCTGCCCTCATGCTTTGTTAACCGTAAAATTATTTCATCGCTACTTCACAGCCATAATGCTACTACTGTTACGAACCATAATGTAAATATCTGTGTTTTCCGATGGCCCTAGGTGATCCCAGTGAAAGCAGCCCACAGGTTGAGAACCACTGTTCTGTTAGCCAGCTGACCTCAGCCCATGCCTCACATGCTTCCATAACCAGCCTAAGGCTCAGATCAGAAGCCTTTGCTGCCACTAAAATGAGTCAGCTGATTCCTTCAGCTTCCTGGACCTGCAGCTCTGCCTGGCACTCGAGCAACACTGGCATCTGCACACAATAAGAAACGGGCTTGCCTCCCAGTTCCCCTGCCTTCGTTCACGTGACAAGATTGTTGGCCCCTTTGTCTGAGCCCTTCCTACCGTTCAGAAATAACTCTAAGACACAAGTCATACGCGGTTCAGCTCAGTGTTTTTGCTGCCAGTGCTGGGGTTAGCATGAGCAAGAGGAATGGTTGCCCCTAAAATATTGTGGCGGGGAGACCATCAAAAACTTCCTCAGGGTTCCCAAGCCAATCGCAGTAGCATCCCTTGAGCAGGTTGAAATAGAAGAGGGGTTTAGAGAAAGGAAAAGTTTGTCCAAAAAGTCATTTGGAGGCCTTTTTTTAAACTACACAGGGTGGTAGTCAGGACATCTCCATGACTGCCACCTCCTTCCAACTGGCAAAGCCCTGCTTCCCTCGGCAGTCAAGGCCTGAGCCACCATTGGTGAGTGTCTTTCACCAGTCACGCCAGAAGTGAAGGGACATTAGTGTTTCTAGAACAGCTCAGTCTAAGGTTTTGATGGAATCAATGTCATTTCAATATCAAGTTGAATGTTTTCAGTTTTAGCCTACAGCGTTGAAGGGATTATTGCTAGAGTCACAATTTGGACTATTTTATGTTTGTAAGCCATCAGCATTGAGTTCCTTTGTAGCAGAAAGCCACCTGTAGCACTCTTACTTTTTTAAACTCTATTTGGGGTGTTTATGCCCTACCTCTCTTCCACCAACCCCCCCAACCTTAGTTAGAAGAGAAAAGATTAGTGGGGAGAGGAGCCCAGACCCCTTTACTTCTCCTGGTTAGGGTCAGTGGGTCTTTGGGGCTCTATACCAATCTCCTTCAACCGCCGACACAGCTAGCAGTCTCCTCCACACTGCTGCACCCCAAAGCATTTCTCTCCATCTGTCTGCTCCAAACCGCCACACTGTCTCTGGTCTCTACAAATTGCTCCATGCCACACAGAACACCACCCCATCTCTGTCTCTGTCTCTGTCTCAGCCTCAGCCTCGTATTTATGCTCTCAGAGCCCTAGACTGCGCCCCTCTCCGTGCCACACATGGAAGGCCGTTAACCAGCTGGCAGTTAGCAGGTGTGGACAAACTATAGCCCAACTAAAACCCCACACTTAGGATTAAAACAAAAGCATATTTATATAACATACAAAGAAACCAAACCTTCCATTACAGCTCTTCCTTGTAGTCTCCCTCTTTTTTGCTTGAGTGGTTACTAGTTTGTTGGTCACACTGAGGCTCCACTCCATCAGAAAGTGTTGCTGAGGAGAGCAGGGGAGACGTGGAAAGATGCTTGTCCATCTTGAGCACATCCCGGGCCCTAGACTTGCTTGTACTTAGAGGAACCCTGGAGGGACCCATCCTGTCCAGGCTACAGGAACCAGAACTGTGCCCAGCACAGTGCACACCTCACCTGGAATCCAGTAAGAGTTCAAACCAGTAAGAGTAGCTGGTGCCTGCTGTCAGGCACATAGCAGCCACATAGTGGCCACATAGCCAAGTGCAAAGCCAGCTTTGAGAGGCTGGATGCTGTCCCCAGCCTTACCACTCATCAGGGCAAATGACAGGACACTTTGATGAATAGAGTGAATTCCGTGCTGTCTTAAAACTTTCTCTGGAAGTCTGTAATCTAGCAAGTGAGTCTTCTTCACCAGCATTTTAGGATTAATTCTAAATTTGCCAGATTTTTTCTGAACTATCAAATTAATGTGATTCTGAGCTTATATAACACCTAATGACAATGATGCAGAGTCCTTTCCTCATACTGCAGATTGTGGGAGTGTGGGGGAAGTAGGGGTTTGCTATAATGTTGCCCAGGAACTATCCAAACAAGGTTCTGAATATTTGGAGTAAGGTCTGGTGCCACATGCATATAATCGTTGAACTCAAGGAACTGAGTCAAAAGGATCCAGGGTTCAGGACTAGCCTGGGCTACATAGCAAGATTCTGTCTCAAAAGAAGGGTAGAATTTTGTATCTTTAATTTGAGGAATTTAAAAAAATATTTTTTTTAACTAAACAGGTAACACAGGAGATTTCAGATAACACAAGAATTTTCAGACTCCTTGGATCTGACAGGTATGATGATGGGTTTGGGAACATCTGGTACTAAATAGGTTTTCCAAATCCAGTGTTTGCTTTTTAACTATTGAAAAATTAGTCCTCTAAGTAAGGGGAGCCCACAGGTCTACCAGGACTGCCTCAGCTGCAGGGTTGGAGGTGCCTTGGAGCAGAAGGAAGGTGGTGCTGTGTTAGCAAACAGCGCTCTGCAGTTCCCTGCCAGATAATACTTTGGAGTTTTATTCTAGATTGCTGTCAGATTCTTAAACTGCAGATTGTTTTAGAATTAATAGGACTAAGCCCCTCCCAAAAAAATTATCCGCATATTAATTGGTTTCTTCTCACCCCTTGCCCATCACCCCCAAATCCTAGAAGAACATTGATCCTAGAGCAGGCAGAGGTGGGCATCTCCAGGGTTGGAGCTCTGATCATAGTAACTGCAAATGGGTTCTGCCTATAACTCAAGGGAGCAGCATTTAGAGAGGTTTCTCACAGAGAGGCATTGGGTTTTTATTTTTTTCAACTGATAGTAGTTTTCATAAATAAATAACTGCCTTGTTGTGTGTTTCTTATGTCCTTTAGGGTTGTGGTTTTGGAAAGTAGGCCAACTGATAACCCAACAGCAAATAGTAATTTATACATCTTGGCGGGTCACGAAAACAGCTACTGAGACATGGAGTTCTTGACAGTGACCACGCCACCGCAGCGTTAGTGGATGCGTGGAGCTGTGCAGAAGCTGCAGGAACCTGGCTTCAGTTCCTTATAATTTATTGTGGCATGAGACAGATGGGACAGCTTTCTGTTTTAAGTGGTATGGATTTTTTTAGCACATTGAACCACACAAGTGCTTAATTCATTGTTATGTAATCTTGTACATATAAGCAGTATTTTTCTGTGAACTTCATATTGCTGAGGCATACACTAAGAACTGATGTAGATAATGTACTTTTATGAGATGTAAAAGTGTCTTATCTGTACAGATGTAAATGGTGATTAAAATGCGACTGGGGTTAATATTTTAAGAATCCTTTAGTATATTCTTGGGTGTGGTTATATTACAAAATGGGATGCTGGCAATGAAACGACATTTAACACTATTGTATTTTTATTATATGTAATTTAGTAATATGGATATAAATCTTGTAACTTTTAAAATGGTAACGAGCTATAATCATTTTATAATCTTGTTTTTAATTTTAATGCAAGTGCACTGGTGTTTCTCCTTGCACCGAGTGTTGATATGTGGTGTACTAAGTCACAAAGAAAGCTGTGACGCCGTGAATATGCATTTGGCTCTACAACATCTTTTTTTTACATGTATTTGGATTGTTTTCTATGTGAAACAAGCCAATTAACCACCCGTTGTAGTGACTGACCTTTTTCTATGTAAGCAGAGTCGTGTAAGATTGCTTGTCTGTGCTTTGGACATACCTTTGCAGAAACCTGCAATCACAGAATGGCGGCACCTTGAGAACACTGCGCTTGTCCTCTGGGGTGCGGCGTGCACAAAGGATGAACCAGCATTGTTAGAGTCCACGCTAGACATTTCACAAATCACACTGAAGAGCTAGAACATTCCACAGTGGCGTGATCAGATTTCTCATGGAGTCTTTATGTTTGTTGGCTTTACTTTATTATCACTTCCCTATTTTTTTATTTAGAGTATTAATACGTGGCCAAGATAATTTAGTTACTACCTCATACAAACATTATAATGGATACTACACATCACAGGAAGTTAGTTCGCTTAAAATCATTGTTGATTGGGTTTTTCCAGTGGAGTGTATCTGTCTGATCAGATAGATAGATATGAAGTTGTAGCAAAATGCACACCTCTGGCTCTGTTTGGTATATGTTCTTTATATTTTGATGTGAGTATGTATACACTAAGAACAAACTAAATTGTGATTTATGCTTCATTTATTTTAATTGATAATGGTTTTAAATATGTCCCTGATTGTACATACTGTAAAATAAACATGTTTTTTAACATGCTGTTGAGTAGTTGCTTGACATCTGGCTTAATAGCATTAATGGGAAATGCTTTCTTTTGCAGTCAAATCTTAAGTATATGGTTCTCAATAATCATCATTATTTGATCTATATTTTTAATGTAATAAAGATCTCACATTTGAGGAAAGGGGCATCTTTTGTAGAATCTTGAATTCTTGTCAAGAAAATCAAACACTTGTAGTGCTGGAGCAGGAGTTGGCAGATTATACCTTAGCCAACTTAGCTGTTTTAGTTAATAAGGTTTTATGAGCACACAGCCCCATCTCTGTACTGAGCTGTTGTTAAGACTGTATTCATCCATCAGTGTCACAGACTGGCCTGCAAAGCTCAGGTGTCTACTGTCAGCGCCTCACAGAAAGTAGGTTGTGGTGGCCTGACATAAGACAGCAAAGGAGTGTTGAAGGATGCCGTCCTGGAGGACAAGAGTAGAACTTGGTTGGGTGACCAAGAGATGCTGTTTCTACTGACCTTTCAACACCTGTTAGGGTGAGCTTGGATTGTTTATTTCAGAGCCATTTCTGTGGCTAGGAGTCAGAGCAATTGTGCTGGAGAGATGGCTCAGAGGTTAAGAGCACTGCTTGCTGTTCCAGAGGTCCTGAGTTCAATTCTCAGTAACCACATGGTGGCTCACAACCATCTATAGTGAGATCTGGGGCCCTCTTCTGGTGTGCAGAACACTGTATAAATAATATGTAAATAAATCTTTTTTTTAATTGAGCAGTTATGGATATTATTTTCTCTAATGTGTTATGAATAATCAACATTAATTACTAATGGCATTTTTTAAAATCAGCTTTTATGAGAGTAACATCACTAACTAGCTGATAAACAGACTTGTGGAAAAATTTTTAAGAAACTAGATTCTTCTCTTAGCATTGCAGAGCAGTTGATGCTTTTAAAGCTCGGCTGGTGTTTCTTCCCCTTCCGAGTACCTGTACGGTACATCTCAGAAGTGGTCACGTTAAACTGGGGAGTGCTTAGACAGATGGCCCCTCCCTGAAAATGTACATGGCTGGTCGCTTAGTAACCATTTGCACTCACAGACTGCTCAGGAGTAAGGCCCAAGAACCTTTGCCTTTGTGAAGCATACATTATTCTGACATGCACCACAGAAGAAGAACTGCTGGAATAGATTACATTTAGGCCAACGTTTACGAATGTGCTGCAAGGATTCAAGGAATCATTTATATCATAGTTTCAAGTGCAAATTCCAGAAGAGATCTGCTCACATCAGTGTTGGAAATTATCTTACTTTGTCTTCATTAACATTCAGCTGCTTTTCCTGTTAACTAATTTTGTCCTTACTGGTTTTGAAAACGGCAGTTGTTTGTGGGTGGGTTTGGTGTGTGAATCATGTTTTAGTAGAAACCACAAAATCAAAGATTTTATTTCATCATTACAGAAGGGAACGAATGGGTGGGGGAAAAATAGCCGTTTAACTTGAGGACTTCTAACATCTGCTGGTGATCTCCTATTGAGCAGCACTGGGAAAAAGACAGAAATCCATCAGTGAGTGTGTTCGGGTGAAATGAAAGTAAATATAAGCAAGGAATGTCGTCAAGCAAATCTCTAGTCCCAGCTGGGAAGGAGGATCACGAATTCAAGGCCAGGCTAGAGCTGTAGAGCAAGGTGCTCTCCTGTGTTTTCTATCTCCCTCTCCCTCCATACACACACACACATACAGAGAAAGAAAGAACAAAAGGTACCTTGAATATGCTTTGGGGAGAGAAACATATGCATCCTTGGTAAAGGAAAAGGAACTTTATTATTTTACATCCCAATCACAGTCGCCCCCCCCCCTCCCAAGCCCTTCACCTTGCTGCCATCCTAGTGTTCTTCCTCTCTCCTCAGAAAAGGCTCAGAGAAAGGGAGGCCTCTCATGGATGTCAGCCCACCTTGGCATGTCAAGTTGTAGCGAGACTAGGCAAGCACATCTACTGTGACAAAGCAAGGCAGCCCAGCAGGGGAAAGGGATCCCAAGCCAGGCAACAGAGTCAGAGACAGCTCCTGGTCCTGCTGTTAGGAGTCCCACATGAAGACCTAACTGTGCCACTGTTACATACGTGCACAGAGCCTTGGTGTCTCCCACATGTGCTCTCAGATTGGTGGCTCAGGGAAGGGAACTTTTGATGTGCAGGGTTGGGCTGGCAGGAGAGATGCTGTAGTTTAGACATGCAAAAACACTGCACTGACGGAAAATGCGGTGGAGCTTAGGGGAGGTGGAGGCGGAGACAGGAAACTGGAGCTCAGTGTCTTCCGCGGATATGCAGCAAGTTCCAGGCTAGCCTGGACATCATCAGTCATGGCAATCATTAACCCCAGCACTGGGGAGGCAAAAGCAGACAGATCCCTGAGTTTGGGGCCAGCTTTGGTACATAGCAAGTTGGAGGACAACCAGGACTGCATAGAGAGACCCTGCCTCTAAATAAACAAATAATAAATAAAAGGCAGGTGGCACACTAGGGAGATGGGCTCAGTGGATAAAGCACTTTCAATGCAAGAGCCCATGTGAAGCTGGGCTCCATAGCAGTCATCTGTGTAGGCCAAGAGACAGGAGAGTCTCCCAAAAGTCACAAGCCAGCTCCCCAAAGGGGAACAAAGACCCTGTCTCGAGATGAAAAGCAAGGAAAACAGGGATATACACACACACTTCCGGTAAAGACGGAAATAGGCCAACATGTTTGTTCATAAAGTGACTATTGGTCCACCTGATGTAGAACGTTTTCCCACAGAAGGGCAGAAATCATACAAAAAATGGGTAGGTGTGAGTTGAAATAAATGTAGTGGAATCGTGTTCTGGTTTTGAGAGAAGGCAATAAATGTGCTTCCTGGCTTAAATGCGTTTAGAATGGGATCCTTGAGGAAAGGGGGAGAGGAGGGAGAGGAGGAAAGGACAAGTCTGTTAAGAAGTGAGGTGTTAACGAGCCACGGCTGACGCCAAACAGCACGAGGAATGGGGGAAGAGCTAACGTGACAGCTGCGGGGCTGCCGGAGCAGGGACCGGCCGAGCGGCTGCGCGTCCCGGTTGCCCCGGCGACGCCTCGCTCGTGCTCTCGGGAGTTCTGGGGCGGCCGCGGGGCCGAGGCTCCCCGAGGCTCCCCGCCGCGTCACCTCCGCCCGGTGCTGTGTGGTGTAAGTGCGGGCGCCCCTGGCGTGGAGGGCGGGGAGCGGGGCGTGCGGGGCTCCGGAGGACAGGAGGGGGCGCGGGGTGCCAGGGAGGGACCGGGACCGGCCGAGCGGCTAGAGACGGCGGCGTGCGGCCTGGGCGCGGGGGAAGTCGCCGAGCGGAGGCGCAGAGGCTTGGAAATAAAGTGAGTTCCGGCCGAACTTGCAGGTCTTTCGTGTGCACGCCGAGAGCGTGGAGCCAAAGCAAAATGAGGCGTGGGGGGTGAGCAAATTGCAGGGTGCGCTGGTTTCCGAGGATTTTTAACAGGAGCGACGGCGCCACGCCCGTGTATGCACGCGGTGCTTTTACAGGAGTGTAGGGCAGGTCGGAATGGCCTGTAAGATCCGTGCTCCCCGTCGGGTTTATGGAACGTTCAAGGCACGTTTGGTTTCATCGGAGACGGTTGACTCTGAGTGGTGGGTGGCCTCCCTGGGTGAGCTTACCTGGCCTCGAAACTGGCCTTAACCTCAACGTTCCTAAAGCCAGGACCGGGCCTGGTGGCTTATTAACAATGTCTTAGAGCCTCTTGGATTAGAAAAGTCGTTTTTCCACCTTTTTTCCCCCCACTCATCACCACTTCTTCTCCGTCTTGACTTTCTCTGTGTATTTAGGTTTCCTCAAGCCCTGGGGACTTAGTCTGTGAAACAGTCGTGAAAACAAGTTGTTCTTTTCTCCTACGTTGCTGCATTGTGTAAATCCTTAACAGTAAGGAAATCCGTAGCAACGTCCTGAGGAATTTTATCACCTGTGCTTCTCCCTTCTACGTTTGTCGTTTGTCGTTTTGCCATCGCTGCTGGCCCCGAGCTGTTCCTGTCTTTGTAGACAGGGCTCCGTTACCTCAAGAGTCAAATAAGTATAAATGGTGAAGTTCGGACGAAGGCCGGCCGCTTGAAGCTGAGGGAGGCCGATGGCCAGGGTAAAATTTCCCACCACTAGCTCTCTGCGTTTAATCTTGCCCAAATGCTGTGCTAACAATGATCAACCTATGCTTGCGAGATTTGCTTTTTAAAAAGAGGAAAACAAGATTAGACCTGAGAGACGCCAGCTGTATGGTAGAGAACAGAGTCCCGTGTGTGTGTGTGTGTGTGTGTGTGTGTGTGTGTGTGTGTGTGTATGTGTGTGTGTGTGTTATCAGAATGTAAGGCCGGGGCCTGGGTAGCGCCGGGGCTGGGCGGGGTGTACACAAACCAGCCTGCCTGCAGGGATTAGGACGGTTGGGGTGAACTGTGAAAGGAGGACTGAAGTACTGACTGAGGGTCAGCCATTCCAGACTGAGATAGAAGTAAGAGAGGCTGAAGGTGTTTTCCACTCTGAGGAACAAACTAGGAAAGGTAAATCCAGGCCAGGTGGGAAGGATTGTAAGTATAGTTTGGTGTTTATTCTGCAGGCTTTACAGGCTATAATGTACTTTTAAAAAGAAAATTGTGCTGGGCATGGAGATGACTCAATGCTTAAGAGAGCTTGCTGTTCCTCCAGAGGACCTGAGTTTGGTTCCCAGCACCCACACTGGGAAACTCACAACCAACTGTAGCTATGTTCTAGGGGATGTGACTCCCTGTCGTGGCCTCTGTGAAGGCCACAAATAGAAAGAAATCTTTGTAAAGATTTATTGTTAGTGTGTGAGCACGCCACAGCGCGTGTGCAAAGGTCAGAGGACAGCTGTGTGGAGCTAGATTTTCCACCGAATAGGGGCTCCAGGGACTGAACCCAGGTCCCAGACCTGAGCAGCCAGTGCTTGTACAAAGCTATTGAGTCATCATCATCCTCCTCCTCCTGATTTTCTTTTCCTCCTCCCCTTTACATTAAAATAACTACA